ATTTGAATCCATTGACAGACCAACATTGGAAATCGAAGCTTCACCACAAAGACCAGAGACACCGTCTAGTGATAGGCCCCAAATAATTCTATCTCCTACCTCTACCTCTCCATTGACATCTTCTCCATTGACCACCTCTCCATTGACAGCCTCTCCATTGACCACCTCTCCATTGACCACCTCTCCATTGACTGCTGGACCTCCAGAACTCAAACTGGATGAAGTATCCAATTCTTCCTTGATTAAGGGAGAGAAGACTTTAGACCCAAAAGAAGAACTGGCAAAGCTAGAGCCAGAACATGGGAAGACCCCTCCATTGACCACTGGGACTCCAGAACTCAAACAGGATGAAGTTTCCAATTCTTCCTTGATTAAAGGGGGGAAGAAGACAGTAGACTCAAAAGAAGAATTGGCAAAAGTAGAACCAGAACATGGTAAGGCCCCTCCATTGACCACTGGGAATCCAGAACTCAAACAGGATAAAGTATCCAATTCTTCCTTGATTAAGGGAGACAAGACACTAAGCCCAAAAGAAGAATTGGCAAAACTAGTGCCAGAACATGGGAAGGTTGGCAAAGAAGGCTCAACAGAGGAGATTAATGACTGGGAGTTTGATGAACTTGAAAAGGACCTAAAAACCCCTAGCTGACCAGCAGGAAATAGGCCAAATTCATACGGTGGAATATCCGAATACGTATACTGGTGCATTTTGATCTCAGAACAAGGATGGATTATGGCATGTCTAGTGGAACAAGCAAGTTATAGCTTTCTTTTCCAGACAAGATGCAATGCTATGTATTTACAGGCAACACTCCTCATAGGTTGTAAATAAAAAGTGGACAAACATTCGAGTGCTTAGGTTTATCGAAGTGTGTAAATTCTCTTATCTTTGATTACAAGATGTAGATACCTTAAAAAGTTAAAAGCAAATTAATTTCTCCTGTGTATAGATACCACAACCATGCAACTTCTTCTTCCAGGTCTGTTTGAAACATATTGTGCATAGAGCAAAGAAATTGATTTCACTGATCATGTGGGCAACACTTGATTACAGGGCATCTGTTGCATATGGAAGAGAGATATGTGATAGCGACCGTCGTGTACACGTGAGCTGGGGTTGGCTATCATCCACTGATGGGTGATGAGACCTCACCTACTGCCATCACTGTGCGGGCGACTGTCATTAGTATTTCTTGCGAAGAAAATGGACTTCGCAAAAGCGGCAAACCTAGTGAGCTTTGACATAAACTCATATTCATAAAGCCGATGGAATTTTTCAGTCACATTGGTTAAAATGAGATCAATCATGTGGCCAGGAGGACCAGAACTCGAGCATCTCTTAAGATTATTAGCATCACGTGACCTCTTGATCAGGGTGTTAGTAAGATTAATATCATAATATGGTCTGTCTCGTGTAGGCACGTGATGGCTACCATTACTGGCAGTGAGCTTCTACCTTTTTGTACCTTTTAATGGCTCCATGGCAGGCCCTCCAATCCATGCCAGAATACTATTTTACCAACTAGGTCAATAAAAAAGTTGACAATAAAACCCATGTCTACAAAATAGGGAAGAAAAAAAGAACAGGAAAAAGAATTGGGTAAAAGCTAATGTTGACGAACAAAATAAGCAAATGACCTCATACATTATTGGGAAGATGATGTAGAATCTTAAATTAAATATGAAATACAAAATCCTTTTTACATTATTCTAAGACACTGACTAAACAAATATTATGTAGTTCTGTTTTCACATGTTTTTTACTGGCCATGAAATTGGACCTTGTGGGTTGTTTTTACATGTTAATATGGTCAACAGTTTGAAATTCCAAAGACAGATATTATAAACAATGATGATGCTGAGGTTAAATCTTTGCAACAATTTTGACTAGGTTAGATAAGGACATCCACAAATGATAGCCCATGATAGTTGTTGTTGTGGAGACAATATAATTTTTTATTTTGTGTTCTTTGATGAAAAAAATGAAATGAAAAATCTCTCTCTCCCCCCTACTGATTATAGAATTGTGAGTGAGTGCAGAAAACCAGATTTCGAGAAGTGGGTTGCCCAGACAAACATAAAAAATACACAAGATGGTTTTCAAATTCAAATCTTGGTTGCAGGCAGGTTAGTGGATGTTGCAGAAAAAATAACATAATTATACATGTAATTGGCATATAAACATGAGATGCATTATTTTGGAAGAAGGTTGGAATCTGAGATCTCTTATCCGTAAGGCAAGGCAAAGTTTTTCTCTTTTGGACTAGACCGTGTTGGCTCTGTTTTTTTTTTTTTTTTTTTTTTTATTGAAAATAAAACAGTTACAAATGGTATTTGTCGTAGAGATTAGATTTCATTTCTCAGAAGTTTGATTTGCTCTCTCTCCTTCAATCGTCAATGTACTTTCATTTTCTTATCAGTGTTCAAAAGATGGGGTATGTTACTTACATTGAAACTCTCAATTAAAAACAGAAGCTCTGCCCTGTCAACATCTTGTACTTGAAGTCTAAGCTTTGTGCTCAAACATTTGAAGAATCCAAATTCAAGGCATTTACAGTAAGAGTGGATGTGGACTAAGAAAAACGTACATATATGGGGATGTTCAAGCCATGTCATCCCACTAATCACGCTCTACAGTCTGGGCATTACAAAAGTTTGATTTGATGGTTTGATTATAAGCAGCTATGTGTCAAAATTTGGTTGGTTCAAATCTGCCTTAAGAAAACTATAATTTCTAAGGAAACTGTCAATAATCACAACATTAAAATCTCATGGGACGGTTTAAAAAAACTGTGATTGGAATCTATTGAAGCTACAAAATTATTGTTCTTTAGCCCAAAATACAAGAATAAGCTACAAATTAATGTTCTTAGCCCAAAAGGAAAAAGCTATAGTTATTTTCTTTCTGCATTTTAGTTCTTGGAAGCATTCAAGATATTGAAAGAGAAAAATTATTATACTATTATATATTATTCTAACTTGCCAACACCTTTACTTTAAAGGGTGCTCTGCCTCTTCCTTCACCAAGCTCTCCTTCCCATAAGCATCTTCACACACAAACACACACACACACACAGAGCGAGCGAGCAGGGTTACATGAGATGGCCAGAAGCCAAGCCTCAGGTGAAACTACAGATGAAGACTACATAGACATGGAAGTAAGCTCCTCCTCCAACTTCTTTTGTTATTCCATTGGCTCTCCACCACAAACCAGAGAGTTTGAGTTTCAAATGTCCTCAGTTTCTCAAGATAAAGAAACGACAACATCCCCAGCTGATGAGCTCTTCTACAAAGGTAAGCTCCTTCCTCTTCATCTCCCACCTCGCTTACAGATGGTCCAAAAGATCCTTCAGAGCTCAAACACCTCACTTGGGAACAAAACCCAAGAAGACATTGAAGACAGCTTCAGCATTCCCTTCATCAATAGCTCTACCACCACAGCTTCCACCAATACAAGCACCCTATTGGATAGGTCCTGCAATATCTCACCGTCAGAATCTTGCAGGGTTAGCAATGAGCTAACCTCAGATGAGTACATCTCTGAATGGACAGCTGAAATGTGTGTTAATTTCATTGGTGGTCATGATCATCATAAGAAATCTTGGTCCACAAAGCTCAAGCAGATCAAGCAGTCTTCTTTGGGTCAAAAGCTCAAGGCTTCAAGGGCATATGTTAAATCTTTGTTCAGTAAGCCCACTTGTGCAGATGACTACTCTTGTGCAAAGCCAGCAAGAAATGCAGAAGCAGAAAATGGTTCAAAAGTCAAGGACTTTTGCTCAAATAAATACATGAAGGTGGCCAAGAAAAACCCTTTTGGGAAAATTGACAATGGCAGATATCAAATATCATCAACTACTCTCATGAAAAGCATTGAGAAAGAAATGGCTGAGGAAAATGCCAATAACCACAGAAAGTCATTCTCTGGGGCCATTCAACATCCATCTGCACCAAAATCCTTGTGTTCATCCACAACTTCCTCTGTTTCTTCATCTTCATCTTCATCTTTCTCATTCAGCTCAAGTGGTTTCTCTGATATGCAGTTGCTGAAGAGAAGTACCAGTGCAAATTCAGAGCTTGAGAGCTCAATAGAGGGAGCAATTGCTCATTGCAAACAGTCCCAGCAGCTGTTTAGCTCAAGAAAGAGTGCAAATGAAAGTCATGGGTTCTGTTCACTGTCTGCTTCAAGGATGCAGTTTGTGGGGGTCAAGAGATCTCACCAGGCCACATCTAATGATATGAGAGACACACACATGAATATGATTACATTATATGATTGAGAATTTCAAATGTTTCCCACTACCAAGTTTTCCTGTTAATCTCTTTTGAATTTGGGCTTCATTTGAATTTATTATGCAGTGTGATTGATGTACAGGCATTTGCACGTTTTTCCAGCACTGTTTGATCAGAGTCTCAGACTTTCTTGGCCTGCATTCATTTATAGAATGTAACTGTTCAAATAAAAAAAGTCTAAAAACACTTTCCCTGGTTCAACTTTTGTTACATCAGAAGTTTTGTAATTACAATCGAGTTGGTTTGATTATTTCTGTTGCTTAGTATAATATGCATTAATGTTATTAATTATTGCGTGTGACAAATGACTTGCTCCCCTCTTTATTAAAAAAAGTCATCAAGATATGACCCAACAAAGACATTTTAAAGATCTTTATATTGTTTTATATATCTTTAGTGACCAGTGGATCTATAAATTCTAATCCAATATCTCCACGTTGAATAATGTGAACAAAAAAGTCACAACTACATGGTTTAAATGTACCCGATCTTTAAGATAGTCCATGAGCCTTAAACACGTCAAGAAATCTATAAACTGTTGCAAGTTGGACTTCCCTTAAGAGTTTGATTTCTGGATGTCCTTTTTTTATTGAGAGGAGCAATAGTATATTAAACTCACACACACTACATTTATGCAAAGATTTGAACCCATAATTTTTTTGAAGAAACAATTGCTTGAACCCATAATATTTTTTGAAAAAACAATTGCTTCAAATCACTACACTAGTGAATTTTTTCGGACTTCCCTTAGGGCATTTCAGCGGAAGGCTTTTTGCCTTGGGAGGACAGGGTCTAGCCCACAAGACGACTCCAACACGTAAAGGCAAGTCTGGGCAAGGCATGGGGCCCACCAACCTGGGCAAGCCCTCAGGCAAAATTAGCCTGTGTTGCTGCCTGGGCAATTGATGTAATGCTGACTTCATAATGACATTAGCAACCAATTTAAATAACAAAAAAAATTGATTAAAAAAAACCCCAAAAAAATCAAAAAAATTTATTATATAAATACCTAACCATATTCTTTACTTATCACACCATAACTCTATACAAATTCATCTCCTTACATCTCATGTGAATAATGGTTGCCCTTGAGTTGCCATGACAATGGATGAAAACACAACAAGCCTTTTGCAAGGGCTGCCACTATTCACGTGAATAATAACATCCATTACCTCCCTTTACCCTTTGTCATGACAAATGAATAAAAGCGCTCTTAGAGTTAATTGATGCTGAAGATGGAAACAATTTGGAAATATCAGAAGTAATGGAAAGAAATTGAAAATGTGTTAGCACAACTAGTAAAGTCCCCCAAAATAATAGAAACCTTTTTCTGTAAAGTGAGTGAGTGACTCAAACTTTTCTAGTGGCTCGGGTACGGTAAAATTAGCTAGGTCTTTGTCCACAGCAGCAGCTAGCTGGCTTCTATAAGCTGCTTTTCTCCTGAACTAGATTCTCAATGAAAGTTTCAGGCTTTATGTCCATCATTCTTTTTTGTTTTTGGATAAAACCATCATCGTCCTTTTAGACTTTTTAGTTTTACATTTACCCAAAAGAACTGTGGGTTATTTGTTCTACTGTTCTTTCCCTTCTAGACTTCTGGTCACCACTGTACTGCATAGAAGTTAGGGACACATCACCCATTTATCTTTTCTCTGTCATTAAGGTGACTTTCCTAATTATCAGGTGATCTCATAATCTCTATAGGGGAACGGATGCTCCCTATGATTAAGGTGACTTTCTAATTTTTCTTTTTTAAAATAATAATTTATTTAAACTAATCTAAACTACGAAAAAGAAATTCGAATTCGAGTGCAGTGCGAGTCACATCCTATAATACTTTGTTTTTCTAAAAGAAGCACGATAATTGTTCTTGAGCAGTTCAGCCTGGAAAATTAACAAGAAGTTATGTTGTGTTTGAATTCGTCTTACTGCATTGAAAACTATAGTTACACAGTGTTCCCTGTCCGCCTCTGCAGAGCATCCACAGAGGCATGTTACGTGTATCAGAAATGTATTTAAATAAATAAAAAGGAATGTAACAGCAATGTCACACCAAAACTATTATTGAAGTCAAAAGATTGATTGAAAATGTCAATTTTCCGGCCAAGAACATTTTAGCATTCCGTTCTTTTTCTTTTTCTTTTGATTTTGACTCAACATTCGTTTCAAAAAATGTGTCTGCTAGATTTTTGACAGGACAAGATATATGAAACTCATTTGTAGAGCACTAGGAAATACATACAATACATACAATACAAGCATATATAACAAGAAACTCATATCCCCACCATAACATCAACATGGTTGTCTATGCCAAAGTTGAGAAGGATAGGTCTTGTGCCTCTTGAGGATGAGGAGAAAGATTTTTATGAAATTGGGATAACACTATTTTGCTATGTTCGACCAATAATGCTATAACATGTGTGATAACATTTCTATATTGCTTAATATTATTAATCGGAGTGCTATCTCCGTTGCAACTAAGTTTTTCTCGAGGAGAGGATGAGTTCTTTTATTTTCACACATGTTAGAAATTATTAGTAACAGCTCCTCTATCTACTAGTAAAATGAGGGTGAAAAAGTTAGAAAACTACCTGCATTATCAGTTGCTTTTAAGTTTTATGGCTTTTCTTGTATTTATGTCCTGTTCAGATTGATATGCCACTAAACCGGACAAGATCATATTTGTTTGAAAGCAGAGGTCTCTGATATCATAAATTGAGGTAATGGAAATTTCAACACTATAATATGTTGGAAATTTAAGGCACTTATATTGGAAATGTAATGGCGACCAATAGACTAATTATTGGTGTTTCTGAGAAAAAGTATATTATGATTTTGGAATTTGGAGAGGCCATAGCTCTTAGCATCACATAAGGAACAAATTGTTCTTTCTCCTCATACATAATATCTTTATCTATTGACTTCATTTGTCTACATGAACAAGAAAAAGAAAAAGAAAAAAGACTAAGCATGTCCTAATGATGCAAAAAAACTTATGTAAAACGGGAATAGGAATCACAGACTATCACGTAAAAAACTTATCACCCGTGACATTTCGTGATTGATAGGAATATCAAAACAGTGATATTGAGGGTTTATCTCAATGGAGGGTATGAGATGTATATGTGGCATTTGGTGGGACCGGTGAGCAAGTGGAGCATGTCTGCATGTGGGTAGTGTCAGCTCGGAGAGATTCAAGGCATCAACATTATTTCCTTGCACTTGCAGAGATATTTCTGGACTAAATGTTTTTCTGCAATGACCTTGTCATCTTCTTCAACTTTTATTCTGGTGCATGTCCTCATTAACATGACCACCTATAAAATGAGAAAAAGAGTTGCAGACAGGAAAAAGGCTTCTTTTTTATCCTGTTTACCCATTTTAAGGGGAAAAAGAAGGCCTAAAGGCATGTACACTTCAAAAAAGAAATACTTTTTCTGCATAAGGACTTGGTAGAATGGTCCAAAACTCCAAATATATCATGATGTTACAGCTAAGGTGGATTTCCAAGTCTTGCTCCTTTCTCAGCTGAGTCACTTCATCCAAATGATGCCATCCAATCCAAAACATAATTGGATGATCTAGTGGTCATGGGCTTTTGGATGATCTAGTGTTCATGGGCTTTTGGATGATCTAGTGGTCATACTTTTGTAAGTTACAAAATTGGGTCAAGGAAAATATATCTTCTCAATATGCTTGATAGAAAAAGCCCTGCTATTACATATTTAACTGGCCATCTTGTAGAACATCAACTTCTACTTGCCTAATTGAGAATGGCTGAGATTATGTTCTACATCACTTATACATAAGGGACCAGAAAACAAATCAGGAGGCAGGCAATTTATATGTAACACATCCCATATCAAATTGCATAGACTTTCTTGCTCTTAAACTGAGTGTTGAGAAGCTCAGAATCTGACATCACCGAGAAAGAACACGAGTGTGAGTGTGACCAGCTGCTCATCGATGACCTCCTAGTGCTGCTACGCATTTTAGAAGCTTCGACTCGCTGCGCAATCATCCAATAACACATTGTTCCCAATGTCGTCCCCATAATCACTGTCCCTATAGCTGTTACTCCAACAGCCAACCATTTCTCTTCTCCCACAATTATACATGACAGTGCAAGAAATGCCACTGAAACCATCACACAAGCCATCCACATTAGCTTGTTTATGACTGTCATCAGTTTCTCCTTTGCCTTCCTCTCTATAACAACAATTGAAGTTTGAACCACCACAACAGCCAATGATATGAAGAGAGCAAAAGAGTCAAAGATAAAGAAGACTACAAACTCTGTTCTGGGGGCAATATTTGCTTCTCCAGGGGAGTACCCAGGAGGGGCTTCTTCGAGGGCAATATTTCCGGGAGGAGCTTTTTCAGGGGGTTTAGGGTACTGGCCCGGGAGAGTGAATATTGCAGCAAAGGCAACAGTGGCAATGAGGACAGCCACAACTGTGGTGGAGTTTATTGCATTATTTAGTCCCTCTGAATGCATTTTGCTGAGCCGCTTTACCATACCATGCACTTGCTTTCGTGTTTGTCTTGTGTGCTTAAGCTGGTCATGCACCTCATGTTTTATTTCACTTACAGTTTGTTTAAGTTCACGGTTTGTGTTTAAAGTTGGTGGCTTGATGGATTTGGCACTTTCAATGCCATGCTCTACTAGAATAGCAGCGATCAGTGAGTGCCCCGATCTCTCTGCAGTGTCAAGAGCAGTTTCTCCAGATTTGTTAATGGTGGTTTCGGCCACTCCCTTATAACTTAACAGCACCCGCACAATCTGCAAAAAAGTATGATCTCAGGGGCTTAACCATATGAGGATTCAAATGACCATTTAAGTATTATGTTCGTATGCCCAATTGGACCTCATTCTCATTGTCACAATTTGACTTTATATGAAGATTATTATGCATATAAAGAAAGAACAGTTTAGTAATAAGCATAGGCTCATCTCTCTTTGAAATGTTTTAAATGCCAAAAAGAACACATTTTATTACCTCAACTAGAGCTTTCTGGGTTGCTATGTGCAAGGCAGTGTTGCCCTTGTTATCGACCACGTTTATCAAGGAAGGATCTGCCTTCGCTAGCTCATTTACCAGCTCAACATTCCGTCCCTTGACTGCCATATGGAGAGCTGTCTGCCCCTTCTTATCATTTCTTGTTGCAATTCCAGTTTCTTTACTCAAAAGGGCCTTGACCACCTCCAAATGCCCTTTCCTTGCTGCAGAATGCAAGGCAGTTTTCCCATTGCGTTGTGCTATGGACACCAAGCTGCAACCGGTCTCCAAAAGGAAATTAACTACTTCAATATGGCCCTGTGCTGCAGCAGTGTGCAATGCTGTGCTGTTTGAGTGATCAACGGTCATCGAAAGCTCTGGAATGGCCTCCATGAGGACCTTCAGCACCTCTGCAATTCAGCAACAGAACAATGATTTGAGATGATTTACTCCAAAAATTACAGGTTACTAAGTAAGCCACAATACTGTTATTATTTTTCAATTTCAATCTTTATTTAAAACTTTCCTAGTCTCCTACAAAATTCACAAATGAAAATGAGGTAAAGAATTTTATGCAATAAGATGAAACTATTTCCTTTGTGATTATTGTATGTGGTGCAAATTAACATCATATAAAAGGACGGAACAAGGTGACTAAACTTGGAAACATCCATAGAGGCTTACCGAAGTTCCCTTGCTTGGAAGCAATGTGAAATGCATCAAAGCCATTTCTAGCTTTGATGCCAGCTGAACCAATATCATAGTATTTCATCATTTCCTTCACCAAATCAACATAACCACATTCAGCTGCCACATATAAGGCGGTTTCACCCGAATGATTCTGCTTCGACAACACTTCATTCAAATCCGCCTCCCCACAGTTAGAGATGATTTCTATGACCAATCCCAAATTTCCTTGCCTTGCTGCCAAGTGCAAGGGAGTGTCTTCACGTTTTCCTGTTAACTGCTTAGTCATCTTCTTCTCACTGAAGCTCTGTTGCCTCACTGGAGCTTCCATTGTTCAATTCCAATTCTGTTTGATCAACTTTAAAATTAAAGTTTTCCCTTTTGACCATGAAGACCAAAAGTCAAGCATGGCAACCCCAGAAGACCAATTTATGAATGACGAGGATAAGATAATTCAGATGATTCCATGAGTTTGCACGTGGGAAATCTGGAAATTTGATTCCTTGATACCCATAACACACACACTGACATCTTCTGCACCAAAATAATTCAAATTATTAAAATAAAGCCCAATTGTAATTTGTCTCTCTCTCTCTCTCTCTCTCTCTCTCTCTCTCTCTCTCTCTCTCTCTCTCTCTGTGTGATTATCATCACCCATCATTGCAAAACAGTCATCATAACAAGAGGGCAAAAAGAAGATAACAAAAGCAGTGAGTCTTCAAAGTTGAAACCGTGTTTGCAGTGTGAAATCAAATTATAATAATGCATAAAGTCATCCAAAGTTAAAACTACAGTTGGGCATTAAGTTTGGGGAGATTATTCGATAAGTATTTTATGTTAAGAATTAGTTACATATTTCTAATATCAACCGTTGGATTGAATGTAATCTACCAACACATCTAATGAATGCAATCCTACAACCGAGATTAGAAATACGTAACCAAGACCACTAATTTAAAACTATATCTAATAACAGAAGTGAACTTTATGAAACAAAATGTATGGACTTACCAATTTTGCTCTTGGGTTTGCAAGAACATGGCTTCTTTCTTCCTCCAATTCAGAAACTGAAGTGATGAGAGGACCCAAGTAATTCATCTCACATACTCAAAAGCAAAAATGGAAAAAAAAATGGTGCGTATGAAATGAAACCTTTTTGAAAATGTGAAAACTAGAGAGCCCAAAAGTGAAGTTCAGTGGAGTGCAGCACATTACGAGACTTTTTAAAAAAGGAGATGTTGATGGCTCACTAGACTAGAGGATGAAGAAGAAGGAGGAGGTTGCCTCGGCTTCCTTTGCAAGAAAGACAGATGTCTTTGTTGAGTTAAAAACCATAAAATTGCACCACGTCACCATCAAATATGGAAATTTGACGCGCGCCTATGTGTTTCACGCATGCCTATAAACGCGGTTACGTATCATAAATGAGATTTGATTATTTTTTAAAAACAGGGGTTAATCGTTTTATTAGCCTCTGAATTTTGACCCAATTTGCAATTGAGTATCTCAATTTTCAAAATGGTTCCCGTGGTCCTTTAACTTTAGTTTCTTTTGAACAAATGGTCCTGCCGTCAATTTTGTTAACTTTTTATGTTAAATGCAAAGGCAAAATGATATTTTTATATTAAAACAAAAATAAATAAATAAATAAATAATCAAATCTTTAAAATAACAATAAAAGAAAATCAAATAAAAAACCAACAAAAAGAAAAGAAAAATCAAGTTTTGGGGTAGTAGAAATCGGGATAGAGGGGGAGCAAGAGTTTAATTTTAATTTTTTATTCATATTTTAATCAATTTTGATACAAAAATACCATTTTGCCCTTGCATTTAACAGAAAAGTTAACAAAATTGACAGCAGGACCATTTGTCATAACGAAACTAAAGTTAAAGGATCACAAGAACCATTTTGAAAATTGAGGTACTCAAATGCAAATCTAGTCTAAATTTAGGGACTAATAAAACTATTAACCTAAAAACAGTTATTTCAAGTTTTTTTTTGTTTTGTTTTGTTTAGAATACAAAGATAGTCTAAATTATAAATTGGAAATGAGGTTTCTCACACACATACTACTAAGTGTCATGGAGATTTATTTTGCAAGTCAAGATCCTTTTTTATTGAGCTAGACCCCACTTGCAAACAGTAGTATCAGTTTAATAATCCAATCATAATCGAAATTCTATGGTTTTTAACTCAACAAATCAAATATGGATTAATGTTAATCACATGTTTTGCTAACCATGGAGATGATTATTTGAACTTAGTATCTTCTTCTTCTTTTTTCATATTGGAGGAATACTATTATACCAAATGGGAGTGGATGGTTATGTTTATTTTGGTTTAGTATGCTACATGTCACTTTAGAGAAATTTATATTTGATTATTTTCTGTGTGGATACAATTTACGTGAAGGAGGATTCGAACTTGGATTTAAAGGGCGGACATATTACTCTAATCAATGTACCGAATCCGCACCTCCAAAACTAACTATGGTTTAAATAAATTCTTATGTTACTCAACATTTACCACTTGGCATAAAAATTATTCTTCGAAGTTACAGTCTGAGGTGGGCTAAAGGACATGGGCGCATTAAATAGCTTTGTTGGTATAATGACAAATTGTGGGTTGATTTAGAAAGGATCCAAAAATACCAAAAAAGCATTGACTTGGGTACAAGACAAGTCAAGGCCGGCAAAGAATATAAATGAGAATCCGACAAAATCATGGCCTCACCAGGCTTCAGTGTTTCACACACCCTTCTATTTTCAGCGGTCGGTCCAGATGCATCCACCAATAGCCCAAGAAAATAAAATTGCTACTTATAGTTATGAATTCTTGGGCCATTTCTTCTCCGCACCAACTACATTTTTCTCGATGTTTGATCGAAATGGACAAACCTGTCATTCGGTTTACAGAAACACTTATTGGAAAAGCATCTAATAGTAGGTTACCCGTTAAGAAACGTTTCCTAGCTCATAAACGCTTTTCGTTAGAATCACAACAATATTTTATTGGAAGGTCACGTGATTCTTTGAAAAACACATTTCCAACCTAGAAAGCATTTCTAGATACTTCTGTCAGAGGAAAATCGTCCCCAAAGGAAACCAATTTATTTTGCAGGGAACAAGTGTGGAACCGAGTAGCTCACTTGCCAATTGCCATAGTGGCCGCCGTCACACACAGAGACCTCCTGTTCCTGTAGACCACACCGCATGAAGCACCCGGGTCTTTCTAACGACTTATGATATGAAGGAACCATAATTGACTTCTGGGAAAAGCAGACAATAATAATTCAACTAAAAAGAACACTGAAGGGAAGCACCCAACATTTTGTCATCCCCACCAATCACAAAATCTTAATTAGTGGACAATGAAAATATAAAAATAATGGCTAATCTCTCAACCATGAAGTTGATTTCTTGACATCAATATCTGCTTTGTTTTTTCGTTAAACATGGATTTTGTTTCTCTTAGAGCACAGAAGTTTTCAGAAACTTAAAACCTGTTCCATATGGAGAGCCAGCTAACATTTTCACACTGACATACAGACACCATTTAGAGGAAGAAAAACGTGCCTTGACTTGACTTCCACCTTCAGCAAACAAATAAGTGGAGGATGTAAAAAGTGCTTCAAACAGTGCATGAAAAGATGCCACTCAAGCTATGGGATCACCATCCACCAAATTGGTTGCACCAAAGCAAAAGTTCTTTTATCCTGATAAAGCAGAAAGATGGAAATGAGCAACCTTTTTTTTGAAAATGTACAAGCTTTCCTAATAGGCTCAAGCTCAGGTGAAAGTAAGAAAGAGAGTCATTTAGTGTGTTCAACTAATCAACTCCTAAAGTTGCCAAATCTTGCAAATTGGCTATTTGTGACTGAATTTAACTAATCACTGCCATTATATTTGGATCAAATATGAGTACTCTGCTTAGGAGCCTCGGGCCTCTTGAACATTGTGCAAATCGGATACCTTTTGTTTTTACGGAATCATCCAATAGTCAATAATGTGATAAGTGCTATCAAAGTTGACCTGAAAATATGCAGAGAGATGAAGGAAAAGGGTACCTTCTGTAGAAACATTGTCAACATCTTGGATCCTCTAATTGGAGTATGTCCTCCCTGATCTGCATGGACAAGAACCTCAACAGTCAGTGTGACGCAAAAACTGTCTTCCAGTGTTTTCTCCTTAAAGCTTTTGCTTTGTTAAACACCATCATGGGATTTGTAACTGATGCCTCACTCGTCGAAGGAAATTTCGTAATAGAAACTTCACAAGTAAAAGAAACATGTGATGAGGGAAAAGTAGAAATGGAAACCTGTACCAGAGACATCCCCTTCGAGCAAACTCAACTTTTTATAAGTTCAAGCAACATCCACCTAATACATTCTTTTTTCAGCCATCTGATTGTATGCACAACATGTAATGCTTCAGATTTCATTCACTTATCAGATACACTCACATTTTTCGGACAAATAATGTCGAGTAAAGTCACATTCAAAATTTTGATCAACTAATCAACAAGTCACTATCTATGCTAGAATTTGAATAGCATATCACCAGTGACGAAACCTATATAAGTTACAAATGAAGACTGATACCATGTATACGCCATATAGTGTACAAATGATATTTCTCACTTTCTGCCTTCGAAGGTTAAGGATATGAATAGTTTTGCTGCAAAACTTTGTACTCCTCGAGCCCAAAACTTCATTTTCAAAAAAGTCCATTCATTGATGCTATTACTAGGGTCCCTGAATTTCGTTTGTATAGGTTAGAACCTCTTATGAACCAACTACTCTTGTATTGATTTTCTTCTTCATGTTAAAGGCAGACAGAACCAGAGGCTAGTTCAAACTAGACTATCATCACAGGGCATATATACGGTTAACTTCTGAATCGGACTCTGAGTGACGCGAGGAATAGATGGTTCCAGTCCTCGACATCTTCTCTCTCTTCCTCACTCTACGAAACTTTTTGGACTTCACCACATAATATGTCATGGTACCAAGAACTCCTGCCATTATAACTCCCCCAATAACTGTGACAAGGATTGCAGCCCATATATTACGCCGGCCAACCACTATATATGCTGAAGAAATAAATGCTACTGTAGTGCAGACAGAGGCAAGCCACATCAACTTATTGATCACTTCCACAACCCTCCTCTCCGTCTTTGTTTCACCTCTGACGAGGGTGATTTGTACCAAAACAACAGCCAATGATGTGAAGAGCGAAAGAGCATTAAAAATGAAGAAGATTTTGAAGGATACACGGAACGACACCACAGCCTCCCCAGAGTCTAAATCGCCACCAGGAAGTGTAAATATAGCTGCAAATGCTACTGTTGCAAAGAGTGAAGCAACCACTGTGACTGAGTTAGTGGCATTATTGATTCCATCCCTGTGTAGCTTACGGAGCTCCTTGGCAATTCCACTAACACTCTGGTTGGTTTTGCGAGCTTGTTCAAGCTGAGTATGGACATCCTTTTTTATCTCTGTCACAGTGTTTCTAAGCTCATCCCTTGGCTGGTTAAGTTCGTTTGCTCGGACAGCACCGTATTGAGTCAAGTTTTCCTTAATTGTTGTGATTTCTTCTGAGTAAGGAAGTCCTTCAGCTATATCAAGGGATGTTTTATTGTCTCTTGTTAGAGCATTCACATTTGTGTAACGAACGAGTAACAGCTCATTGACTATCTGCAAGCGTGATGAGAAATTGAATTACTAAATATGTAAACCAAGCTCTTAGACTCTTAAGGAATCCAAACCTAATGTGCATCCTTAATCATATGACCAGAACTTGTAAAAAGGAAAAACTGAATAAAGTCAGTCAGTAGCATCCCATCATAGAACAAGAATATATTAAAAGTATTAAAATGTGAAGATCCAAAAGTTAAAATACATACCTCTACTCGCTTTTTCCTGGTGGCCACATGTAATGCCGTATTGCCGAACTTGTCTGGAAGCATGACAATAGCTGGATCTGTTTCGACAATCAACCTCACCACTTTACTGCTGACACCTTTTACGGCCATATGCAAAGCAGTTTGTCCTTTCTTATCCGTTCTTCTTGCTAGTTGTGGACCCCTGTCAAGCAAAGTTTTCGCAATATCTACATGCCCCTGCCGTGCAGCAAGATGCAATGCATTCTTCCCGTTGGATTTAGAAACATCCAGCAAACTAGGATCTTTTGATAGTAATTCTTTAACGACTGCTGTATGCCCTCTTGTAGCTGCAGATACAAGAGGGGTAGCATTTGCCTGGCCAACTGTTTTGCTAAGCCCCGGGTCATAGTTTAACAGCACCTGGACAATGGCTGCATAAAGCGAGTTATTGAACTGAGGTGACAGGGTATTGAAATATTTTACTATCTGTTAAACCAAAAGAAAGTGGAAAGCAGAACCAAAAGACAAGCAAGTAGCGAGCAGTGTCAAGACTTGATTATGAATAATCACCAATAATGAAGCAGAAAAGGCTCACACTGGATGAATTAGAATGAAACAGGAAATGAACTTCTCAAAAGAAGCCATGCCTGAAATGGACACAACACAACACTACTCCGACTCTAGCGAGGATTAATTATCTATCATGTTTGCCTACAGTATCAATAGTTAAGCAACCAGAACAAGATATAGACTCAAAAAATCCACTGAGAATACAAAACAGCTGTGGTCTGTTGTTTGACCAGCGATGAACATTAACATCAATTCTGGTTACCTACCCCTTATACTTTCCAGATGAGGTCTGAAAATTACAATAATGCATTCCATTTCAACCCTTAACTGAATCAACAGCAACAACAATACAAAGTTTGGCTGAAACTATTGGACTTATGATTACCTTTTTGCCCTTGATTTGCAGCAATATGCAACGCATCAAACCCGACCTGATTCTTCAACGAAATGCCCTCCTCGGTCATGTAGGGCAAAAGCTCCTCTACAATACCAAGATGCCCCTGCTCAGCCGCAATGAAAAGGGCCGTCTCTCCCAACTCATTCACCTCATTCACAATGGCAGACCTTATCTCAGCCACCTCTTCATCAAACTCAGAACCCACCATCTGGGCATCAATCTCCCCCAGAAACTGCTGCACAGCAGCCAAATCGCCGCGGCGTGCAGCCAGGTGGAGCTCCGTGTCATTGTGGCGGCCGGTCACCTGCTTCACATACTTCTTCTTCCCCAACTGATCAATGCGCTTGCCGGAATTGGACAACACCAGAGACTTACTGGAATTCGAAACAACCAGGGCCTTGCCTGAATTCGAACCCAGCAGAGACTTGCTGGAATTGGAGAACACAAGAACCGGCCTCGACGGGTGAGGTGACGATGGCGGCTCCGAGAGAGCTCCTGGGGTTGAGGGCTGCACTAGCCCCTTCTCCAGGTCCCTCTCACATCCTTACCAATCAAAATTCAAAACAAAATCAACAGTTTCAATATTCATTTCCACCAAAATAAATAAATAAACCAACACATTGCATCAAATACTCTATGAATATATAACAAAAACCACACACACATTCAGAAAAAAGAAAAAGAAAAAATCTTCCAATTTTCCCGCGAAATAAACCGAATGGAGAAACGAAAATGAGGGATCAGGGAAAACCCAATTCCTCTTCCCATTCACTTTCATTTTCCTGCACATTCTCAGCAGCCAAACACACATGAACATGCAGAGAGAAAGAGGGAGAGAGATAGTACGTGAATCACGTCCGACTCCCAAACGGATTTGCATTGTGAAAAGCGAGCGCTTATATGTTCATTTTTTTACTTAAAAATGTGATGAATTTGATTGGGGAAATGAAGACTGTGTGTGATTAGGGTTTTGAAGGCAGGTGGAGTTGTTGGGGGGGGGTGGGGCGGGAGGAGGTGGCGGGTGGCGCGGGTGGCCAATGACGGGGAAACTATTTGGGGGGAGTTTTGGGGTTTTTTTAATTTTTTTTAATTTTTTTTTAAAATTGAGGTTCACATTCAAAATAAAAATAAAAAATAATAATAGAATGAGGCCGTTAATTTGATGCCAGCCGGGCCCTGCCATTTTGAGACCACGGGCCACCGGGTCGAGCCACACCGGACACCATGAACCATAAAATATGATGTAACAAATTCTTTTGTTGTTGTCGTTGTTGTAATTCTGAATTTATGATGATTTATTCAATTTAACTGCCTTCACTCGATTTTAGTTTGTTCTCAACTTATAATTTGAGTAAAGTCAGCTTTAAACTATGCATTACAACCCTTTTATTATTAAGATTTCGCACGTGGATGGAAATTGAAATCCTAACCAAATTAGTATTAATTCAACCAATTGGAAGCCCTAATAATTTAGGATTGATAAATTTGTTTCAACCTACCTAATACACATTCTTAGGTCTAATACGAGAGCTTGGTTTTTTAAGAAATTTTTATCTAAATCAATTTTAAGCTACTTTGATCCGAAGAGAACTTAAAAGTTACCTATAACGATTGTTGCTACGGAAAAAGTAGTAGAGATACAACAAGACTTTGTTACGGCATGAAGGAAAGTCTTTCGCAAATGAACGACGGTTTTGACATTCGTAAATCTCTTGATGAGAGGAGGGATGTGTTTGTTTAAATTTTTAGTTGTAAGTTGAAGGAGGTAGTAGAAAAAGAGGAAATGATGGGTTCAACACTTGAAACTAGGGGTGGTTGCGGTTCGGTAACTGCGAATTTTTGCCCAAACCGCAAAACGACCGACTATTTGCGGTATGGTGATTTTTGAAATTGCAAACCGACCACTTTTTTGTAGTTTAAAACTGCAAGTTCTCAAGCATTCACAAAAATATAAATTCACAACCTAAATAAATAAATACACAACCTCAAATTCTCAAGCATATATAAATTCACAATCTCCTCAACTTCTCAAGCATTCACAATCTAAAGAAAATTAAAGTTACAATTCCAAGTATTCCAATTAAAGTTAAACTTCTCAAGTATTTCAATTCCAAATCTTTTAAAGTTACAAACCAAAAGGAAAATACAAAACAAAATGAATTAAAGTTACAACTAAAAGGAAAAATCTCATTCAAAGTTAATTAAAGTTACAAACTAAAAGAAAAATGCAATGCACAAATGTTACAAACTCAAGTGTTGGTGGTGAGTGGATTTGAAGAACCCCGTTGTGTTGTTTGAGCACCAATGTTATCTACTAATAAAATAACATAGTTTAGTACATTTTATTATAAGAAGATCAAATAAAACAACATAGATTGGCTATACTTTGCGGTTTGTGGTAACATCAAGTTTTGAAAATCAAATACCGCAACCGCAAATGCGGTTCGGTTCTTCATACCGCAAATGCAGTTCGGTTTACCGCGATCGCAGTTTCATTGTAGTAAATAATCGATTGATTTTTGCAATTTTTCGGTCTAAAATGTCACCCATACTTGAAACTATAACAATTAAGAAACTTGTATATTACATGGACAGCTCACTCTTTAGCAAAATATCATCTTTCAAAATGTGTCGGTCAACCAACTGTGGAGGCAACCCGAATAGGGTGAATTCGGGTCGGATTTTACTCGGATAGTAACTCCTCCTCCGACAAAACGAACGCTTTAACATAACCGACTCAAAGAATAAAACGAACAGCGAGACCATCTCCAGCTCCAGCTACAATAAATGGGAGTCTGTTTTCACTTCACTGGTACAGCTCACAAGACGAGTTTTTTTCCGTTTTAATTCCGCCATAATCAGACACTCTAAACGGCAACGTTTTTTGTCATAAATGGGCAACTCCCACTGCCACCGTAAACGCCGTAACGGCCCCGTCTCCAGTAAAACGGACAATTCGGGCTTTAAATATGGTCCGTCTGATCAATCAGCCCAAATCCCGAGCTCGTCAGCTAAGAAGACCAGCATGGTGGCCTTGCCGTACGCTCATGTCGACGGGAGCTTGCGAGCCCTCGCTTCCCAGGCCGAAGGCTTCGGCCGCCTCGCAATTGGTGGCCTCCGCGGTGCCCTTTACCACGTCACCACTCTAGCTGGTACGTTTTTTGATCGAATTCCAAACTAAATGTGTGTTCTTGCTTGATTGTATTTTCAATTGCTGCCATCCGCTTTGTAAATGTGTTAGCTTTGGGTTTTGCTTGTTTGTGTGTGTTTTTCTTGTTTAATTGGTAGTTTTAGCGTTTTGTATGGAATCTTTTGAAGTAAACTTGCTTATGGAGCTTGGTATAGTGGAAATGCTTTAAGGGGTTACTTTGGAGCAAATTTTCCAAAGGATTTGTCAATTTAAATGCTTGTGTACCCATGATTGAGTTTGTAGTTAATTCGGCGTTTGGTACTGCTTTTTGATCTGTTGAGATCTTAGTATAGAGTTATTGTGAAGCTTGAACAATGAGCCATATTCATTGCTTGTTGGAAGGTTAAATTTTTATTATTGTTCTTTATTTGATTGTAGATGATGGTCCTGGGTCACTTAGGGACGGATGTCGCAAGAAAGAACCACTTTGGATTGTCTTTGAAATTGCAGGCACTATCCATCTCTCATCTTACTTGAATGTTTCATCGTATAAGACTATAGATGGCCGGGGTCAGAGGATTAAACTTACAGGGAAGGGGTTGAGGCTGAAGGAATGTGAGCATGTGATTGTATGCAATTTAGAGTTTGAAGGTGGTAGAGGGCCAGATGTTGATGGCATTCAAATAAAACCCAATTCCAAGCACATATGGATAGATCGGTGCAGCCTTCGTGATTATGACGACGGGCTTATAGATATCACCAGGGGAAGCACAGATATTACAATTTCGAGGTGAGATGAATCTCCCAACTTGGAATTTCACCCTTTTTACTTTTGTAGTATTGAAGTTCTTTGTTTAACCATTATGCAGGTGCCATTTTTCACAGCATGATAAGACAATGCTAATTGGATCAGACCCCTCTCATATTGATGACAGATGCATCCGGGTTACCATTCACCACTGTTTTTTCGATGGTACCCGACAGCGGCATCCTCGTGTCAGATTTGCAAAAGTACATCTATATAACAATTACACCCGAAACTGGGGCATATATGCTGTTTGTGCCAGTGTAGAATCGCAGGTGATAATGCCACTACCAATGGCTATTATATTTTGCTTATATACTCTTTAAAGTTTTCCAAGGATTTTATCATATACGAGGTTAATATGTTATCATTATGTTTCCACTCCAGATATTCTCTGAATGCAATATATATGAAGCGGGGCAGAAGAAAGTGGCATTTAAGTACCTTACGGAGAAGGTAAGTTCCTTTTTCATTTTCATCTACCAACTACATGTCTTCAAGATTTCTGATTTGTACATGCAGTAAAAATTTAGTATTTGACATATTAGAAGCTGATATAGAAATATTTTGTACATTAGTATCTGGAATTCGAATTGCTATACACCATAGTAGAGGCTAATCTCAAATTGAAAAGAAAAGTGAGATAATTTTGGGAGAAACGCTAGAGGATTCTTAGATACTGGGAAATTATTTTGGCTAAATGTGCATAGGACATGGAAATCACTAATCAGGAAAAGACATTACTTATCGAGTAAAATGAGGATAGATAGTGCTGTGGCTAGACGTAGGTTGCAGCCATAGATGACATGCACAAGTAGTTTCAGAGAAGAAAGTTGGTTAGAATGTGGTCATAGATGATACGCAAAAGCAATTTTGAATTCACAGAATAAAGTTTGTCGGAATGAAGCATAAGCTTGAGTAACCCCATAAAATTCTGTTATCCCGCTTTCGTTCTTTTGTTAGGTACTGAATGCTGAGTGGATTTTGTTCAAGAACCATTTAGCATGAAAGCATATTATGAGATTTTTTTATTCCACTAGTCCAATGCCAAAGTTGAAATATTGTAGTAGAATTTTTTGGGCAAATGAAAAGTACATCAATTCATCCAACAGAGGCCATTGAAATGTATTCTGCATATGGATTTTCTACAGGCAGCGGACAAGGAGGTGGCAATGACTGGCCACATTAAGTCTGAAGGGGACTTATTTATAACTGGAACTCAAGCTGGATTAACGCCCGTGGGTGTCGAACACAGCATGTTTCATCCTAGCCAACACTATCAGACATATACGGTAGGACCTCCCACTGATGATCTTAAACATGTTCTCCAACATTGTACAGGATGGCAGTCTGTTCCACGGCCAGCTGATCAGACAGGAGTAGCATAGTAGCCTCGTTACCCAAGTTTTATTTAATCTTCAATTTTAGTCCTGTGTCTTATATTTTATAGTCTACCCAATATCTTTGTTGTGTGTAAAATAAATAAAATTTACCGGTCTTTTATTATTTTATTATCAATAGCAAAGATGAATATGCGCCATCTTGAAAAGTGATTATAGAATACTATGATAGTATGGTCACGTGGTATATCTTGTACAAGTGTTATGGTGCACAACAGGGTTTATGACATATATTTAAGGAAAGTGTTGTTTATGGAAATATTGATGCTTGACCACAATATTTATTGATGTCAATTGATACAGGCCAAGGTATTTTCTTATTAGGGAAACGTACGTCGTTTGGTGTTGTTAAAAAGTTTATATATGATATGATTCTTTAACAATCGAGGGCTGTTCACAAATCATGAGTAGAAACATCCGTTTGACCGAAAGAAAAATGCCAAATCAAATCAACAGCAGTTTTAAGTTGACTTGGTGTTTTTGTTTCGAGAAAACAGAAATGTCTGCCTTCATTTCAAATTTGAGGTGTTTCAACTCCCAATGTGTCGTTTTTTTCAAACTCATGGCTGCAAAAGCGTGTGAGAGCCAGGACGGGACAGATGAACGAACCAAGTTGCTAAACTATAACAACGAAAGAATTATCTTTGTCGCACGCCATCTCTTCTCACAAGATTATGTGGTTATATATTTTTGTCAAGACTTCAAAGTTTTTCAGCATTTCTCATAATTAGTGGCTGAGGTTTTTGCTCCTACTTAATTAATTACTATTTAAAATTAATTGAGGCTATTAGACATATACATAGAGAAACTCTTATGAAATGGGAATTACTTTTTGCTATCTTAGCCAATAACATAATAACACGTATGATAATTTTTTCACATATCATTGTGTGCTGGGGATAGCAAAACAGTGTTATTTCCGTTACAAGTAAGCTCTTTCAGTAATTGAAGACACAAATACAGTGTTGCACACCAAATTACACGAATGTGTTTACTCATATTCCACGCAAGGCTAATAAAGTTGCTCATCGTCTTACTCAAGGGCGGAGCTGTACTAAGGCCTGGGATGGCCTTGGCCCCTCCAATTTATTTAACCCTTTTGAATTTATATATTGGATGTGGTAACAAATGCAAAGAAAAATTGATATACTTAAGCCTATGGCCCCCTCACCACAAATCAATACTTGTCAAAATCGTATTTTAATATGAATATAATAGTAAAAGCATATCATATTTTTGAAAGAAAACCACTCATTTCAATTCAGTGCTTTTGTACGCAATAGTTTACTCAATAGGCCAAAAAAAAATAAAAATTATACAACTAAACTTTTTGTGTTTAACATATTGGCCTCCTCAAATATAAAATCCTAGCTTCGCCCCTGGTCTTACTTGTGTTTTTGGCAATAGTTAACTAGTTCAAATAACTACCCGAGATTCCGTATGCAAATATTCTCTCTCTCTCTATAACAAAATCTATCAGCTACCAACAACCGTATATTTCAAATAAGGAAGAAAAGGTATAAATCGTTTTAACAACTAAACCCAAGGAAGTTTGGGGGACCAGCCTTTTTTGGGGTCACAATCAAAGTGAATTTCCATCAACCAAGACAGGAGACCCCACGGTTGGCTGGTATACAATGATTTACATGTAGCACTCAGCAGCATGCATATTTGTTAACAATATTATATCATTATGTTAGACTTTTTCATTAAGCTAAATGGATTATAATAATAATAAAAAGTGAACATGAGACGAATTCTAATATGGAGGTCTTAGATACGGTGCTTTGACCCACGTAAAACGTATAAGGCTAATAAATACTTAGTTTACAAGTAATTGCGTGTTTATTTATATTGATCAAGGAATGTGTCGTGAAGTTTTGTCATTAAAAAAAGAAAAATGTGAAAGGAATATATATGAACATATGGGGCAAAATTTGAATTTACAGAAATACAGGGGTGATTGTATAAGTACAAGTAACAGTCTCTGTCAAAAAGTCGTTATACAACTAACTTATTCCAACTGTCTGACGTATTCGCGCTTTTCTACACACAAACAAAAGCCCGGCGAGTAAATTCAAATAAGTCGCCGCAAAACACCTCAGAGGTAGCTCTAAAGTCTCAATGGACTCCGCCGATGAGACGGCGAATACTGCGACGAACCATCCGAGTCCATGGTCCCGAAAAACAGGTCCGACAAGTGATTTTCAACATCTTCAGGGGCAAATCTGACATACAACTCCACGCTTCTCCCGCCCCCAACCGTCAGCCTATGGGCGTCGTAAAACTCCCTGTAAGCCGACACCAGCTTTTTTGCTATGGACACCTGCATCTCTTCTCGGAGTTTCCGGTCCGGTACGACACTCGTCCTCTGTTTCCGATGCGCTTCCTCGAAGCTGAAATTGAAGTTTCGGAAGATCAGTCTCGCTTCCTCCGTGGAAATCTCGACCGTCGGATTTTCGGGCAATGAAGCGAAAACTTTCCCCCACGCCAACCCCTCGTAGTTTTCTGCGAATTGCCTCACCTTTCGTTCGTGCTTCGATATCCAGTCCTCGCCGAGAAGGTACTGGAGATTCGATGTACGGATATTCGAGATCATGTACTGGAGATTGTTTGCTAAGAAGAGGTACGAGAGCGAAACGTCCTTGTAGTGCTTTGCCTTGTCGTCGAGCTTGCAGAGGAGGACGAGTAGGAGCCAGGCCATGCGGAGGGAGATCACCGGCGCCTGACCGTCTTCAGAGTGGGGGCTGTCGAAGTACGATTCTGGAAGCGACGATTTGGCCGGCGGAGGCCAGTCGGAGACAATGTCGACGAGGACGTTGCTGTAGTCTGTAAGGAGAGAGAGGTAATTCATCACGCGGAGAGTGAGATCGTGGACGCCGCCGCCATGAGAGACCGATTTCGACGAGTCTTTCTGGATCGTCGACTCAAAATCGGAGAGCATTGATCTGACGGACTCGCTGAGTTTAATGAGCGAATTGAGCGCCTGAGATCGGACGGCATCGGTGGACTCGAACGAGAAGATGGAGTCGATCTCCGGCCAGCGCTCGGAGATCGAAGTGTACATATCGAGAAGACGAAATACGTCTAGAGACGACGAGCTTTTCTTGCTCTTCGCGACGAGAACTTGAGGGAAGCCAAAGAGTAAAGTCGCGGCTTCACGAGATATGTGCGTGAAGCAAGACTCTCTGATGGAGGCGGAGGATGCGAATACGTGATCGCACAGGATTCGCTCTCCGTTGAAGAGCGTGGAGATTGACATCTTCAACGCATTCAACCAGCTCCTGATTCTCAGATCCAGAACCTCCCTGTCCATCTTGTGGATCTGCGAAGAGCTCAATCTCTCAACTCCTAGCTTGTACATTCCCTCGTCGATGATCGATTTTCTGATAATCTTGTAGATGTGAACGCACTCTTTGGCGTAGCCGGAGGAGATCATACACTCGGCTATGGATTTCAAGTCGGCCATGGCGACCGACGAGACGTGCTCGACTTCGGAGATGGATTCTCTGGCGAATCGCACGTCGTCGTCTGTGGTGGCGCCGCCGTCTTCGTAATCGGAGGTGCTGGACCGGGTAGACGTGACGGAGGATCTGGACCTGGTCGAGACCGATTCCGGGTCTAAATGGGCTCGGTTCATGGATAGGATCTGGTAGAACTCTTTCTGCAACCGCTTCATTGCGATCTCCATGAGGCTCTGCGCGTGTACGATTTTCTCGGAGGTGGGGTCCTCCGATACGAGGAAGTGCATGGCCTTCTGAAGCTCCGTCACGCACCTGATAAACTGCTGCGCTTCCTTTTTGCTCTCGTAGAAGAGAGAGGTGACCTTGGCGTATGTCGAAGTCTCCGGGTTCCACTTCATGACCAAAACGGCGGCGTTCCCGATGATATCCTCGATCATTGCGTCGGTGAAGTTCGTTACGGGGACACGCCGTGGGGTTGGGAATGAGACGGAGGAGGGTCTAGAAGGGGAAGAAGAGTAGGCGGCGAACGACGGCGATTTGGAGTGAAAGCACAGGCTCCTCATTCCTTTTCTTGGCATTATCAATTTTAAGATAATTAGTACTGGATTGGATTGGCTTGGATTAGATTTTCTCTCAGGTCTGAGCTCTCTACTTTCTGTTTGTTTCTCGAGAAAATTGGTGGCTATGTTGTTGTGTGTGGGATTTGGAGGGAGAGGCTTTGGTTTTTTGGTTGGGGCTGGTGAGTGGGAGGGGGTACATATAGAGGGAGATGGAGGAACGACGCCTTTGCTTGGAGAAGAAGAACGGGAGTTTTGACTTTAAAAGAGCAGAGAGTCATATAAAATGAAGGCACGTATTTGACCGTGACGCGTCCCAATTGACAAATTAAACGACAATTTCAGACTCTGAGCAAAGGATGTAGCTCAGCCTGCGCGCGGTCGCAATAAAGACACAAATTATTCAAATAAATCGGGAGAGAGACTACGAACGGTACAAGTTAAACATAACATTATATTAATTAAGAAAATAATCAGTAATTAATTTTGCTTTTCGTTTGTTTGTCTGCTTAATTAACAAGAAAAGTAATATAATATTTATTATCTTACTAGTTTAGTGTGGCTGACCCTGAGTTTTGGGTGTTTAGTGGGGTCGTTGATGTTGAGAAAGGGACCTTTAGAATCACTCACATACATACATATGACGTAAGCGAATATATCATATCAGAAGCCCTGAACTTAATAATCTGTATAAGGCATGACGTTTTCTCCAAAATTATTTAGAGGAAGAAAATAGTGAATTGGAGTGCGTAAAATTCGAGGAAAGTCTTATAAGTATCATTATTCCTTCATTTCAGACAACTTCAAAACTTAGGAATAAGCTCAGAAAGTTTGTGGAGGACGAAACAAAAAGACCAAATCATTTGAAAGAGAAAAGCGAGATGACTTATGAAGCAACCATTCTATCTTGAGTTGGATTAGCCTAGATCTTTTGATGTGCTTTCAAGTGGTTCTGAGTTTAAGTCCTCATGGTATCCGTGTGTGTGAGTTCTCCTCTTCCCTTCCTAACTTTGCACTGACGGATTTAGGAAAAAGAAAAATATGATCATTAGATTTTATGATAATAACTTTAGCTAGCGCTCATTAAAAATGTCATGGTTTCGCCTTTGTCTAAAAAAACAAAACCAAGTGAAAACTTAATTAAAGAAGTACGCATTTGAGCACGTTCCTTTTTCAACTCTCATTGTAAATATAAAAATGTATATGTTGTTTTATCACTAGAATTATAAGTCCTTACAAACATATGCTCCTTCTCGAATGTTTGGAAAACTTTTTTCTCGCGAGACCTAAAACGTATGGTATGCCATGGAAGGTTGAAATAATATGCTTTTAATGATTAAATGAGATTAGTCTTCAGAATTATTATTAGCTGGTTGGTATACCATCTAATACACACGAATAATTTTTGTATTTTATGGATATACCAGCTGGTTGGTATACCATCTAATACACACGAGACATGTGAAAATATTCTCCAATACACATAGGACATAAAAATAAAATATTTTCACATGTCCCATATGTATTAGATGACACCAACCAACTAGTGTACTCAGTATACAAAAATTTCTCCGTGGGCGAGTAGTATTATTTGGACAAAAATAACCAAGTCGGTCTTGGTAATTATTATTATGGTAGACTTCCACAAACCAATGATCACTAAAATTGAAAATTTAATTGAATAGACAATTTGATCATACACACAATAAATATGTATAGGTTCACTTTTTTTCCGTAGTCAAGTTTTGTTCACCCCATGAAAAGCGCGGGTGCATATGTTGCAAGTTGCAGCTATCCAACAAAATTAAACAGAAAATAATAAAACTGAAGAAAATAAACAATAAATAGAAACTTCTATATGAAGAATCATTCTCGTCCAGCACGTGGTGATTATTATGCATCATGCACAACAAAACCAGTTAATTATATACTTTAATATTATATACATTCTTATTATGAAATAAAAATTAATTTACTAATTGGCATATATATGACAATAATTTTCATAATTACTCGTTTAGTATTCTCTGGTCATACGCGATTTCATGTCATGACATGCATGCAGTGTTGCGTTTTTTGTATCCAGTGGTGTCGTTTGGCTCCTAATAATGTCCGTACAATGCATGGATCGAAGCGATTGATCACTGCAAGTCGAATGAGGTTGATAATTATTCCTTTATTTCCATGTGATACAAGAAGATATATATATATATATATATATATATATATCATCCAAGGGTGAATATTTATCAATAATTATTGCTGATTTCCATTGTGTACGGATTCTAGACGATCGATAAGCAAATTTAATTTAATTTAATTAGGATTAAAGCACATGGTTTACAAATAACTCGTTTGTATTTGGAGAGAAACGAACAAATATTTGGGACACAAGTGAATCACCAGTGAATTAATTAAGGTAAAGAGTACGCGTATTGCATGCAATTTTAGAAAAATAATAATTGAGATTTGGTATCCTAAGAAGATCTAGGGCTTGAAGGAGAGGAGAGAGTCTCGCCGCGTGCTTTGAGTGATTTGTAAAGACTACATGGATCTTATACAAATTAGTTTATTTTTGTAACTCTTGACTTGTATGTATTCGATAGAATCAAGCCGGATATTTTATTTATTATCATCTACCTACTCGTTCTGGTTTAGTGGTATTTTTTCTTCCATATAGAATTTTTAAGTATGGTATGATTTTAATATTGTGAAGAAGAAAAAAAAGTTGTTTTGATATATAGAGTACCTATACTTATACAACATGTATACACAAATTAAACATAGAGATCCTTCACATATAATTATACTAAGCTATAGAAATCTTTCTTGGTCTATTAAGTTTTTTTGGGGGCTGAGATTAAATTCATCTAAGCTCATGGAATATAACCCAGTCAAATATATCAAAATGCTCCTTCTAGAAAGACAAACACAACGGTGGAGGAGTGATAAATAATCTTTAATCAGTCCTAACACATTTGATAATCTAAATCTTTCTTAATTTAGATAAATAAAAATACGGGAGTCGAACTCTTGCCATTTTTTTTCAAAGCTGTAGATTATTTAATGTTGAAACTTCTCTACCTTGCTGGTATTGTGACAGATGGAAATAAACCGTTGATCACCATGACTGACTTGGGGAGAGTCGAGATGGTATTGTGACGCGTCCGTTTGTGTTTGACCGACTTGGGGAGAGTCTCTCCAAATATTTTGCCTCCGTTTAATTTGCATATGAACTCAAAGTATATGCATGGGGTCTTTCCCTGAAAAAAGAAGAAAATAAATTAAATGCGCCACATGCATATATTGGATGGTTGAATTTTGAGATGTCGTCATATAGTTTTAATCTAGGTCTTTTTAGACGGCTTGATGTGCCAATGCCATTCAAGACATTAACTGCTAAGTCTTTCAACGCGCATGCAATGCAAGTTGCTTATATTTGTATAATTGTAATTAATTAACCCTCATTATAATTATTTTGTGTGAAGGGCAAAGTGAAACAATGAAGGATTTTGCTGCTGGATTGTAAACATCACAGTGTCTCTTCGATCGCATGTGGAAAGGGCAATGAGATGATCCAAATATTTATTCATTTTCGATGCCCTTCACCCCCTCAGGTTGGAGTCGTTTTCAAAAAGGGGCATGACTTTTTAGCCGTTTTCACATTGTTACTCGAAGTTTTATAATGTTATCTATTTAGCATTTCTTGTGTCTGATTGTCTGTTTTTTTCCTTGCCTTTAGACTAAGTGCGAGGCCTGCTTTTGAAAAACAATGAGACGTCGATCATCTCGTTAAGGGCAAATTCAGAATGAAATTTTTATCTTTGTTGCCAACAAAAAGTATTGACACATTCCCTTTATTTTTATATTTTGTAAAATGACCCATTCTAACCTCAATTCCTAGCTCCGTCATTGCTAATTCAGCGAGCTATTAGAGCAAGTCTACCGCAAGACCTTTTGCCCGGGCAGGAAAGGGCCTATGCCCACGAACAGCTCCAGGGCACAAGGGCAAGCCTAGGCAACACTTGGGACCCACCAACCCAAGCAAGGACACAATCAAGTTCATCATGTGCTTTTGCCTGGGCAAAATGACGTAATGCTGATGTCATAATAACGTCAACAACCAATTTAAATAACCAAAAAAAAATTGAAAAAAAAACTAAAAAATTCAGAATTTTTTTATATTATAAATACGTAGCCATATTCTTTACTTCCCACACCAAAATTCTATACAAATTCATTTCCTCATATCTCATGTGAATAGTAATTGCCCTTGCCCATACACATAGGGGCGGAAACAAAATTGCAAGGGCAGCCATTATTCACATAAATAGTGACAATTCTTGCCTTGTCCTTGTCCATAGGGGTGGAATTGCTCTTGTAGGTGGCTAATTGAAATCTATTCTGCAATCTTTGACAAAATGATGCACTGTATATGGTCATTCGTAGCAGAGGAAAAAGGGTGTTGAAAGATAAATGGAGGAGAAAAGCGGTAGCTACACCTATACACTTAATTTACAAGCTTTCATATATAGGATGGCCAACAAAGTCTAACATCATAGTATATTATCAACCACAGCACACCACACACTGCTATTAAGCGATGCATACATGTCAAAGTTCAGTTGTCAAATATCAGTTGCGAACATGTGACGTTAAACTATAGGCATGCCATGTATTTGTAGTTCGAATGCAGAGCTTCTCCCTCGAGAAAGTCTCGACATGCATGCACGCAAGGGAATGTTGCATGCGTATATTTGACTTTCTGGACAGCAAGTAATTAACAAGCTAGACCAACTTCATCCCATGCACGAGAGTAAGTAACTAATTTCAGTTAGATTTAACTAATGTTCAAAAACCTTTGTTTGGTGAAGTTATAAATGTTGGTACTGGATTGATCAAATTAGATAGAGTCGTGTAACTCATAATAACTGGTTTGAACTCAACTCTATGATATAGTCTAAACCGAACTATGAAACGGGATCAATATACATAAAAATATGAGTTTTACCAAGAATCAAAAGCTGCACATAAACTTTAAAAAAAACCTTAAATTTCTTTTTGGGGGGATCTATTATATAAAAGAATTGTCTATGTATGCATTAGCTATAGCAAGAATTTGAAACCAACAACTCAATATAGTTTCGCTTTCTTAAGATTTGAAGTAATGAATTGTTTTGATAAGTTTTACCTTTCTTCGACTGTTTAAGTCTCTCATCCGTACACGTAAATGAAAAGTGGTACATGATATTGAAATTTGTGATGAATAATTTGGATTCGATGGCGATGTTATATTGAAATTTATGATGAATAATTTGGATTTGATGGCGATGTGATTGAAACTTTTGATGTGTCACCGAAATTCAACATAAAAATGACTTTTAGTTCCCTAATTTTTGTCACATTAAATCTTCTCATCAAAACGTCCATAAGGTTTACGAAATTATTAGATTACATCCTTAATGTTTTTTTTTGTCATTCGTGGTTCTCAAGATTAGTATGTGTGATCACAAATGGTCCATGCCGTTAGATTCCGTCAAAAACTCCGTTAGTTTGCTGACGTGACATATATATATATATATATCACAAAACATCTCTGGGTTCACCCACCTATCACAAATGGTTCATACGAAATTTTTTAATTTTTTATATTTAAAATTCATAAAATTTTGGTTTTCTTTTTAAAATTTTATGGATTTTAAATTATTTAAAAATACATATTATATTTTAAATACATGTGACACTATATTATTGTATATGTGGGCTCCATATATATGCCACATCAACAAACTAGTGAAGTTTTTTAAAAATAATTTAAAATTCATAAAATTTAAAAATGAAAAAACTAAGGGTTTAGGGTTCATAAATGGTCCTCAAGATTAAAATACTTCTATAAATGGTTTTTTCATTTATAAATAATTTTAAAAAGAAAACTAAAATTTTATGAATTTTAAATGAAAAATTTTAAAAAAATTGTAGGGACCATTTGTGATAAGTGTGTGAACCTCAGGGATGTTTTGTGATATATATATATGTCACGTCAGCAAACTAACGGAGTTTTTGACGGAACCTAACAGCAGGAACCATTTGTGATTGCACATACTAACCTTGAGGACCACGAGTGACACAAAAAAACATTAAGGATGCAATCTGATAGTTTTGTAAACTTTATGGACGTTTTGTGATAATAAGCCTCAAATGTATATATACGGCCATTTTTTGCTGGATTAATCAACTTCACATCTCATTCATGTGACTTTTTGGACAAAAATTTAGATAAAATTACATCAAATTTAATGATATGTGCAAAATTGACTATCTATAAAGAAGAGTGCTAAATTAACCGAAATAATAATTTAGACCAACTATCGTGATAGTTTTTTGAGAGAAACCTCGACAGAATGAGAGAAACTTTATTCATAAAACGAAAAGTTACAACGGGATGAACAACATGCCTAACCCCGACTTAACAAATCACATAATAGGGTGTCCTGAATAAATCAGGAGGCACCTCAAACCAAGTAAAGTTGTCCACAGTATGCAAACCAAATCGAGCAAGTTGGCGTGCAACATCATTTGTGTTTATACCATATTTGACCAAGCAACTAGAAGCAACTCTATGCAAAGCAAAGAGTCCCACATTGGAATATTACAAGAAGTGAAGGCTCCCCCTCACCTATAAAAGGAGACCACTCTCCCCTTAGAAAAGGATCCTTGGGCTGGGCTTGATCTTTAGTCATGACCTTCCCCTTTCTTACATTTAAATTTGGGTCCAACCCCATGTACAAATGTAAATACACAATATTACAATAATGAGAATATACTTCTCCGTGGACGTAACCCATTCATTAAGGGTGAACCACGTATATCTTGTCTTCTGTATGTTTATCGCTTGCTCAAATCCTCACACGCTTGGTGAAGGTCCTCACCTTCACCCATCATCCATCACACCTTATCACTAAGTTGGCCTCAAAAGTGCCGAACTATTTTTTAGCGTCAACAATTTGCTTCTCTATAAGTAAATTAAAAAAATAGATAATTTAAAAGTGTAAAAGACGCTATTATATACATATCAGACATTTAATTTTACATTATCTCCGGAACTTTAAGATGAGCTTGATCATTGTGATTTGATACATTTGGGCGGTGCCTACCAAGGATTCTCCATTAATGAATTAATGAGGAATAATGAAGTGACTCACCTTGCATGCATATATATATATGTGTGTGTATGTGCGCGTACGCATCTTACACTTAAATCCAATTAAAATAATTCATACTAGTCTCTATTGGCCTTTGGGAGGTCCCCATACCATATGGAGGATTTGGTCCAAGTCAGCCCTAGAGTTTGAAAGAGTTATGACCTTGAGATTTTGACAACTCCAAGAAATTCAACAAAATTTATAAATTGAAGGCGATCCGAATTGATCATTGATAGCAAGCACTACTAGTGGAGATGGAGTTGAGAAATTTCCTGAAAAATCAATTAATGCACGGCGCACACAACCTTATTACAGAGATTGATTATGCTGGTTCTGAGAGGCTAATATTACAGTTGATGCAACAAAACGAAATGGAATCATAATAACTAGTTTGAATTCATCTCTATAATATAGTCCAAACCGAATTATGAAACAAAATCAATGTACGTAAATACCTGAGTTTTACCGAGAATCAAAAGCTGCACATAAACCCAGAAAAAAAAAAGTTAAATTTCTTTTTTGGGGGGTCAATTATATAAAAGATCTATGTATGCATGAGCTATAGCAAGAAGAACAATCAACTCAGTATTAGGTGCACTTCTAGACCTGGTCAGGTCTAAACGAGTGGCATGGTTATATATAATAAGAGCTATAAAACTAACAACTTGACCGCATAGCGCAGTGGATTAGCGCGTTTGACTTCGGATCAAAAGGTCGTGGGTTCGACTCCCACTGTGGTCGCATTTCGTTTTTTCATATATATATATATTTTCCTCCTTTTTGGACCCAATGCAATATAAAAAGGAAAGTTCGTCTCCTTGTTGGACTCCAATTTAAAGTCCATTTTATCTAATGGGCCTTGAATGTGTCCTCTTCCCGATTTTGTGGAAGGCCCATCCTCTCATGCTTGCTGCTGCAATTCAAAAAAATTGTTTGCTTTTATGGGGCCGGTATATTGTAGAATGAACAATTGAAATACACAACTCATCATACTTTCATCAACAACAACATGCATATCATCACTCACATCTATTTACATCTCATCCCTCTCGTGTATTTTCACATCTAATGATTTAATAGGTAATCACTTGAACTAAATTATGCATGAAGCATTTTTATTCATAAGCGTTTCTGTGAAGCATGTCGAAATATTTATTAAAAATTCAAGTACTTCATAAAAAAATCACTTAAAATGCGTTGTATAAAGAATCATCCTAAATGCTTATCTTAAAAATGTGTCTGTGCGTGTTTTTTTTAATGGCCGGTGGGTGTTTACCTTAGTAGTTAAGGTCTTTGTTTGCAAATCTCATGACACCAGTTCGAATCCCCTTTGTGGGTGCCCCTCTCCCTTTAGAATAGAATTCTCTCCTCCCCTTAAAATAGAATATTGATCGAATAAAAAAAAAGGTTTTTTATAATCTATAAACACACACTGCGTTTGTATAAATACTTATCTAAAAAAGCATTGCGTTTTTTATAATCCAAAAGCACTTTCGAGTTTTTCTCCTTAAAATGTGCACTGTGAACATTAGTATTGTGACTTGAAAAGTTCCACTACACGCTCGCAAACTAGTCCGTACCATAAAATTTTCACACCAAAACGCGCGTTCGCTGAAGCGGGTCCAGTCCAAGCAATCGCTTCCCTTCCTAATTACTCAAAGCAAACCCCCATCTCATCATCATTTACAACATAATCATATTTATTTTCCCCATAAGTTAACCACTTCTTCTTCTTCCTCCTCAGAAACAGACCTTCCAACCTCATCACCATGATGTGATTGATTAATTGCACCACCCACAATCAAATTTAGCTTCAGCACACTGCTTCACTGCCTTCTTCAACCTTAACAATAACCACCACCCATTTCTCAGCTCCACCTGAAAGTCTCTGTCATATTCTCAAAACCCAAACAAAAAGAAGTGACAGAGAGGACAATCCCAATCTCAATTTCTCAAGCATGAAGCAATTGCACAAGCAGGCGAGCGTGAATCAAAGGAGGGACGAAGAGATCCCATCAAACCTAGCCTCAACCTACTCTCCCAAGGCTCTCAAACACCCTCGATCTCTCCCCAGATCCATCAACTACCTCTTCAAAGAACAGAGGCTCCTCTTCATCCTCGTCGGCATTCTCATCGGCTCCACCTTCTTCATCCTCCAGCCCACCCTCTACCGCCTCGGCCCATCTGACCCCAACAACCCCACCACCTCCATCTCCAGATCCTTCTCCACCGCCCATGACCTCGTCTCCAAGCCCACCCATGCCAAGGTGGGTCGGGTCCCCGTCGGGCTCGGCAAGCGGAGGCTCCGAATTGTCGTCACCGGCGGTGCTGGGTTCGTTGGGTCTCATCTTGTTGACAAGCTCCTTGACAGGGGCAACGACGTGATTGTGATTGATAATTTCTTTACCGGGAGGAAGGATAATCTGGTGCACCATTTTGGGAACCCGAGGTTCGAGCTCATTAGGCATGACGTCGTTGAGCCGATTCTGCTGGAGGTCGATCAGATCTACCACTTGGCCTGCCCTGCCTCCCCTGTTCATTATAAGTATAACCCAGTCAAGACCATTATATCCTTTTTATACAATCATGTTCGTTCTTAGTGTTTATGATCACTCTTTCTTTATGGTTTTGATTGAATTTTGGCATTTTGGTTGTTTTTGTTTAGTTTTGTTTGCTTTTTTGGGTTGAATTTTGAGAAAAAAGAAAAAAAAAGAAAAGGATTTTGGGGTCCTTGACTGTGATTACAAGACCAATGTGATGGGTACTCTTAATATGTTGGGACTTGCCAAGCGAATTGGGGCAAGGTTTTTGCTCACCAGTACGAGTGAGGTGTATGGGGACCCCCTGGAGCATCCTCAGAAGGAGACTTACTGGGGAAATGTAAATCCTATAGGTGTGTTTATATGTTAGACGTTTATGTCTTTAAAATGTTTGTGTATAATGCATTTTGTTGCTTGCTTGATATGTTTGTATATATTTGTCTCTGTTGGTATGCTTGCAAATGATCAGGTGAGAGGAGCTGTTATGATGAAGGAAAGAGGACAGCAGAGACATTAGCAATGGATTATCATCGAGGTGCAGATGTCGAGGTAACTGAAACATTGGTTCTGATATGCAGTTGTAAATGTGCTATCGGGGAATCCATAATTTGATGCCTGGATTGATAGGCATGCAGATGTAAAATGTTAACGTCATTCTTTAAAATGGCAGTAAGATCATGTAGGATTAGTTTAATCTTGAGAAACTGCATGATTTCTTCAATTTAAGTGGCACCTGCCCTCCATTTTTTCCCTTATAGGTACATTAGATTTTGGGCGACCTGGTCAGTTTTATTTATTTATCTTTACATAATCTTCTTTATAGTCATTTTTTCTCCAGCAAACTATTCTGCTTTATACTTTAGTTGTCATTTTAAATGTTGATTCAATGGACCTTTTAAATATGCCATAGTACCTTTTAGATATGCCATAGTTTTGAAGCTGCCAAGAAGCTACATGACATTAGAAATTTGTAAAATTAGGGGTTGCAAGTAGACAAGTGAAATTTATTACTTGGGTTTTCCTTGTATGGTTGCTTGAACTTTATGGTAATGCCCAATTTTCACACTAGCAAGTGAATTTTGTTATTTGGGCCATGTATAGTTGTTTGAACTTTAATCGGACCTGCTTTTTACATATCTCGCGTTATTTGGGATGGAACCCTATTCACTTCTATAATTGGAACTGTAATTAGGGCTCTACCCATTTATTCACTTGACCAAATTTATTTATTTATAAATTTTGTTACACGCCACATGGAGTTCCACCTAAAACCACCTCATTGAAGTAATTACAATTTTTTTATTTATAGACCCGATTACTTCATTTATTCACTGGTAGTGCCAATGGTCATCCTTGACCTGTTTCTCTTTTAATTGATCCTTGGCTACAAATCATTGTTTTTCCAGGCTTGAGTTTAGAACATTGTCTCATCCAAATGCTTTTGAAATCCTTTCCTATCATGGAGAAGCTATAACTACTGTAGTTCAAAGTAAGATAGGATTTGGTTTGGTTTTCACCATTAGCTTGTCAGACTCACATAAGGTTCTGTTTTCAGGTCCGTATTGCTCGAATTTTCAACACTTATGGTCCACGTATGTGTTTGGATGATGGGCGTGTTGTCAGCAATTTTGTTGCTCAGGTTAATGTTTAATATTACCTTAAAGTGGTTTTGAGATTTCTGCTATTAATAACTCATGACTACTGGGATGTTTCCTAATGTGATTATCATTGTTGTGCTTTTCTAACTGTTGTGGGGCTACCTGTGTAGGCTATCCGCAGACAACCATTGACTGTGTACGGTGATGGTAAACAAACACGAAGCTTCCAATATGTCTCTGATTTGGTATGCTAGACTTTCTGCAGTTTCAATATGCAGTTCTTTCATTGGAACTTTAGCACATGCCATATTACTTATGCATATTCTGCATCTTTGCCACATTTTCTTCCGGGACCTTGAAATATTTACATTGTATTCCTGGCACAATAGGTCTCATTATCGTCAGCCAATTCTAGAATCAGTTAGACTTTAGAAGATGAACTGAGAGCCCATTATATCCTTTTTGTCTGCCTTTGAACTCTTAAGGGGCTTTTGATTGAAACTGCTTTAATTAGTGAATTGATGCGGTGGATGATCTAATAACACTTTTTTTCAATGATAGGTCAATGGACTGGTGGCATTGATGGACGGTGAACATGTGGGGCCTTTCAACCTGGGTAATCCAGGGGAGTTCACCATGCTAGAGCTTGCTGAGGTTTGCCTTTTCCTCCTTACCATAATTTTAATGTTTTTCATACACTCCATTTAGACATCAGAAAATGCTCCAAGGTGCTTGGACGGTAATTCTTTTAAATTTTTTTTGTAGTGATTTTGCTCCTTTTGATCCTTTTTTTGTCCCAATATCCAGAAGCTGATAAGAGTTTGATATTGTTGAGTGATTTTTATGCTTGCAAATGAAGAGCAATTCTACACTGGCCTTTCTCAAATTTTCACTTTTTCCTGATGAACAGGTTGTCAAAGAAACAATTGATTCAAGTGCGACAATAGAATTCAGACCAAATACTGCTGATGATCCACATAAGAGGAAACCTGACATTAGCAAAGCAAAGGAGCTATTGAACTGGGAGCCAAAGGTGTCCTTGAGGGAGGGACTGCCTCTTATGGTGAGCGATTTCCAGAATCGCATTTTAAACGAAGACGAAGGAAAAGCCATTAATTAAGAATGCGGAGAACCAGTATGTATAGTGTGAAGAATGACTGTATCTTATCGATTCGTTTATTATTGTCGTCCTTTTACATTACTTGGAAATTCAAGCAAAAAGCCACTGTAGGAAGATATATCTGGTTATCCACGGTGCTTGTTTAGCACAAAGTTTACAGTCATTAGATTTTGATGGCATTTTTTTACCACCTTTTACGGCACACATTGTGGTGGTGCAAGGTTGTATCTTCATTTATTTTATTATTTTGACAACTTTTTGGTATTTTGGAAGGAAAATCACCTCTCGCATTTGGTGGGTGTGGTAGAGTTGATAAAATTTGGTATTAGGGCACCTCCACCGCAAAGGGTAAGGGCAAGGCAAAGGCAATGCAAGGTTTGTAACGATTCACGTGAATAGTGGCAGTTTTGTTTTTTTGTTTTCATCCCAAAGACTATAGCCGCTCGTTTATACTATTTATTAAAGACAATTTATATATATTTTTTAAAAAAACAGTACAGCCGCCCCTCTACTGTTTCTAAAAAAAATTACAAAAAATGGAGTATAGCTGCACGGCTATACTATTTACTGAAAAAAAACCAATGCAGCTGCAAAGCGCTAGGCGCCCACATGTAAAAAAACTGAGTATAGCTGTGTGGAGATACTATTTTTTAATATAAAAACAGAGCACCCCCATCGATTAGGCGCTACGTGTCAACACAAGTCTTTTTTTAGGGAAAAAAAATTAAAATAACGGAGTATAGCCGTTCGGCTGTACTAATTTTTTATTTATTTAAAAAAAGATCCTCAATCAATTAGGTCCCACGTGTCAAAAAAGTATAGTGACCCGGCTATATTATTTGAAAAAAACATGAGACGTGTATAGAGCACGAATGTATTATTGAAAAATACTTACGTACATACATACTATAAAAAAAAGACTAACCGCTCATCTATACTATTTATTAAAGATAATTTATTAGCCAGTACAGCCGCACGGCTATACTAGACTAAAAAAGGGGAGCTGCTGCCCAGCTTTAGCGCGCACGCGTAAAAAAAAATGAGTATAGCCGTCTGGCTTTACTATTTTTAATATAAAAACAGAGCACCCCATCGATTAGGCGCCAAGTGTCACTGTCAACACAAGTCTTTTAAAAATAAAAAATAAAAACACGGAGTATAGGCCGTTTGGACTTTTTTTTTTTTTTTTTTTTTTTTTTTTATTTTTTTTTTGAAGACCCTCCATCAATTAGGAACCACGTGTAAAAAAAGTATAGCCAACCGGCGATACTATTTTTAAAAATAAGATCGTAGGAACTATTTAAAACAAGACCCTCTATGATGTATTCTTCCGAAGCCGCTGTAGGGTCTGACTGAAAACCACACAAAACAATACACTTTAAGAGGAAACTGAAGATCATCTTTCCACAAGTTCTTAAAAAGTCCTTTAATCAACAACTTTTCTAGCAGTATCTTACTATATATACAACACTACTAATTGGTAAACCCGTGTTTGCTCTGTTCTGTAAAGGGAAAATAAAAGACTAACCTCCAAAAGATAACGAAGCCTTGGAAGGATTCCCATCCGCACCAAACCTGCAGCAAAATCTTGTCCGGCAACCACAAATAATTTCCTCATCAAGAGCAAGAATATTAGAAGGCTTAGCATTGTACTTCCAGAATCCACCACGAAGGAAACCAACAGCAATCTCTGGTTTACTTCTAAATACAGGGGCCGTAAATGTATCCTTATGACGAGCCAAGACCATTTCTGTCCAAAGCGAACTTGATCTTTCATAAAATTCTCCATGAATTTTTCTCCACATATGAGAGAACTTCATCTCATTGCTCTTGATCGGGCAATGACCAACTTTCACACAACAAAATATCTTCCTGAGTTGTCTACACGCCTCCGGCTTCGATAGAAGAGACCATTTGTTATTTGATACAAATGGAAAGTAGTAGAAAAATTTGAATGGAAAGTAAAAAATAGAGCTTGTCCAATATAGATCCCTACATTTTCTATTTCCTAGACATATACCCATCACTCTATAAATCTATGTGTAAACCCCAATTTCAAATTTAAATGACCAGTAGGATATAAGAGGTCGTAGTATTTTTATGTTTTTACATCGTTGCCACTAAACTTCATATTTTATTTATAATTTATTTCAAGCATTTCATTAAGTGCCATAATTGTAATTAATATACTCCCTATTAATAGCATATCAATCACCCCATTTCTTTTAGTTGTCATTCCCTCTCACATCTCGCCCCCTAAAATTGCAAACAAAAAAAAATTCCGTAAATTACATATCCAATAATGTACCTATGAAAAATATAATATATATATATATATAAACATATAAAATATAGGTATATTATTTACCCAAAAAAAAAAAACACAAAGTCAGTTACTTTGTAATTGCGTATATTTTTCATAATTAAAAATAGGTACACAATAATTTATATAAAATATTGGTACATTATTTACCCATAGGTAAATTATTTTACAAACTACCTATAAATGTGTATAGGTACATTATTTGGAGAGGAAAAATAGGTACATTATTAGAGGAAAAAAATAGGTAAGTTATTTGGAGAGAGAAAATAGGTTCATTTAAAAAAATTACTTTTAATAAAACAAATAATAGGTACTTTATTCAGAGAAAAAATGCTATATTATTTATAGAAAAAAATAGGTACATTATTTAGATAAATAATAGGTACTTTATTCGTAGTAGGTATATTATTCAAATGGTTGGTATATTGGATGACATATAATACCTAAATCCTAATTGTAAGTACATTAAAATTAATGTAGGTATATTGGATGTCATATAATGTAGGTATATTGGAATAGATAATTATGTACACTTTTCATACTAGATAAATTATATTTTTCATAAAACAAATAAGTAATAGGTACATTATTTTTTGGGAGTTTCACTAAAACACCCAAAATGGGGGTTGAAATTATAAAAAAACCCAAGCACTATTTAAACATATAAACACACCCAAAACCCATCATTACACACACTCAAAACCCATTTATAAACACACCCAAAAAGTTGACTTTGTGGTTGATTTTGGGTGTGTTTCTATGTTTAAATAGTGCTAGGGTTTTTTTATAAATACATGTCTAGGATTGGGTTTATTTATAAATTTGTATTATTTTTTCAACATAATTAGTATGTACAATTTTATTCATAAACAATTATAAAGTGGATTATTAGTCATGTATAATTCATAAAAAGAAAATAACATAAACATTTTATTAAACAAACTGATTACCTAAATATGAATTTATTGTTAAATTTTTTTTAAAAATGTTTCAAAATTAATTCCTACATCCATTACAACCATTTGGAGATCTTTCCAAATTCAACATCTGTCATTATATACAATCCAATTAAAAACTGTTTCCATATTGATTCCTACATTAATATACAAAATGCAATAATAGCTTAGTTTGGGGTATTTTTGGAATATGAAAAGTACAATAAATCAGATTTTATGCTTAATTAGGTAACTTGCTGAGTTGGATCCTAGTCATGGGTTTTTACTTATACAAATTGGGTATTATTTATAGGAACAAAAAGTGAAGGGTTGTAGGTACTGCAAATTGAATTTGAAGGGTGTAAGCCAAATTTACTATAAAAAATATTGGAAGGAGAAGAACTTGTATGAAGATTTGGTGTGGAAAGTGAATAATATTGTTAGGTATTTATAGGGAAAAAATCCATAATTTTTTGGTTTTTTTTTTAAAAAAAAATTCTATCCGTCGGATTTTTGAAAAAAATTTGATCGGAGTGTCCGGGAAGCCCCACGTGAAAAGGCGCATGAAATGGCGTTACGGCTGACATTAGTAGCCTTCAGGCAACAACCTAGTCGATTCTTGCACGTGGGCTTGCCTAGGCTGGTGGGTCTCACCCCTTGCCCAAACTGTACCTTGCTCGTTGGAGGGAGTTTTGGGGCTTGGGCTGCCTTTTGCCTGGACTGGACCCTTGCGCTAGAGCTGCCCTTAAAGAAAAGGGTGGTAACTGTTTTTGTTGTTGACTTGTTTAGCAAGAATGACTATACTCCTTTGACTTCATCAAATTCTTTTATTTTAATTTCCTATACATGACAAAGGACTTGTAGCTCAAGGATTAAAAGCAGTTGCTCTTGTACTTGAGGTGTGTGTTCGAATCCTCTTTTCCCAATATAGCTTATTGTTGGAAATATAAGGACTAAATTGCTATAAGATAAACAAAATAAATACTGCACATAAAATAGGTTTTTACAAAAGGAGAATTGAATTAGAAGAACCTTAATTGAGTCGAGGCAAGTGTTGGACACTCTGACCTTAAGACGAATTATGCCCCACACTGGTTCTTATGGTTCACTAGCGTTCGCCTCCCATGATACAACGACTCCCCTCATTGTGAAAGAAGCACTGTAATTCACAAGGAACTTTGAACCAAATTATGCATGAACTTCTTTTTATGAAAACTCTAATGCTCTCTATATATGAAAGTCTGTATGTAGAGAATTAAATTGAATAATAAAATTGCAGGAGAATTGCTCTATTTACAAATTATGAAATATCCTTTCCAAAAAGGTATCCTAATCTGAAAAGGCAAACAATGCATCCCTTGGTTTGAAAAGTTGTCACCCCAAACAATGCATCCCTTGGTTTGGAGAGTTGTCACCCCCCAATTGAAGATGTCTTTAACCCAATAAATTTTATTAATTTCCATTCAAATAGGAAAATTAATATTAGTTAATATTAAATTTCCAACACTTATATCAAAGAAAAACAAAAATCTTATATATGAAACCCCTTTAATCCCAACAGCTTTGCCGACCTAAATTCAAGAAAGTTTTGTTTGTTGCCTTTTCTTATGATGGGTAGGTAAGGTTGGGATCAATGCATGCCCATGCATGCATGGTTTGGTCACTTGGTCGCGGGACCATATATAGCTGCTAAAGGGGAAAAGTTGCAAACCCCATCTCATCTTTTTGAGTGAATGAAAAGCTCTCTGGATACAGCACGCATCTATAATTTTCTAATAAAGTTTTGACCAAACTTAAAGCAAGAAAGCCTACCTTCTAACATCCCCACCATTTCCACCTCCGTGCAACAGAATTGAATGTGTCATTTGGAGGCCCCTTGTTTAAAGAAAATTCTCTCAATTTTCACCGAAGTCCCTTTTATGCCTTCACTTAAAGAAAAGCCCTCACGTAAATGTGGATTAGGTCAGTTAGCCAAGACGATATGCCCACACTGCACCTGAGTTCGATCTCATTTCCGTACATTTAGAGTAGTTTAGAATATATATTGCTTTGTCAAAAAAATAAAACCCCAATCTTTCAGAACATGGTGACAACCAAAGTGGTTTGAGTGTGGGAGAGACACTAGGTCAAGGTATAACACACAGTGAAAAAAAAAGGCAAAAAAAGAAGGAAACGTTTAGAATTGGGACTCTGCACTGGTGAAAGTTCATGGTGGGCAGGGGATATAAAGGAAGAAAAGGAAAGGAGTAGATGAATGATGAAAGTCATTTTACTGAAGCATCCGATTCCATGAGCAATTGCAAATGGTTTTGGGTCTTATCCCATCTTCTCAAAAGAAAGAAAAATTCCAAATGGCTTCTTTTTTATTTTATTTTGTTTTTATTTTTATTTTATATATAAAACATCTGCTGGCAGCATTTATTCCACAGGAATCTAAATAATTACATGCTAAATATCATCTGGAAAGATCTTTGTTCCATTTCTTGCTGGTATGGTATGATTGGTTTCTTGGTAACATTTTTGGTAGTAGGTCCTTTTCCTTTAATTATTAATACCTTTTTTGCATTTATTTTTATTTTTCAGTGATTTTAATTTCAATATGAATTAGCAGAGGAACTGAGGAAGCCGTTGGGGTGTCTCTTCTGAGCTTATATCATTTCAGAAAACTGAACTCTTATGGGGACAAGCTGCTGCTAAGCGTGAATAAATAGTGAATATAAATTCGTAGGCCATGCATGCCCAGCAGGATTTAATGTACTTGCAGTTGCAGGATGTGCTTTTATAGTAAATTAAATTTCCTGCAGATATAATATATTTATGTTTATATTATATAGTTTTTAAGGCCGAACGCATCCTAAGGAAATGTCACGGGTGCGTGCTCCACTCTTATCCAAGCCAAAAATATGCACCTCAGCCTGACCAGTGACCACCCATATGATATTTAGTACAGTATTAACATTTATCAAATGCCCTAATTAAATAGCCATTTATATTGGTCTTAGTGCACCATCTGCAATATCATATGCAACCCTCTTAATTACTTGAAATAAAGAAATATACCAAAATGAAGGAACACCCAATTTTTTTTTAAAAATATTTAGCTAATAACCGACACCCGTAATTTACTTCATCTAATAGGCCTAATGCTAACTTTGAGTAGCTAACGCACATGTTCGAACTTTGATGGCACCGTGATAGTGTGTGTACTAATTAACTTTGAGTTTGAGGTGGATTTGAGCAAACTTGAGTAGATACTTTTTTCTTGAGAGTTTTGAGGCTATATATGACTCAGTTTTAGGTCTAAATTGCATGTGTTTTCATAAGGAAATGATAGGTGAGAATGTTGAAAATTTATGACTCGTAATATAACTGGAAAAGGAAAGAAGGCACTTACTACACATCATTTTCATCCATTGAATCCACAGAAAAGTTAGCTGCAGATCATAAAGATGACTTTCTGGGTAGGCTTCTGTTGAGGTAAAAGCTTACCCCACTTTCATTTTACCCTTATACAATTTAATCCAGGAATACCAATATCGTGCAAAAGTAAATTTTTCTTTACCACAATCTCAACATCAGGTCCTCTGTACTTGTTCTGCCCATGAACTGTGATTGGTTAATGACAAACTAGTAATGTTCGACTGTAAAAGTCCAACTTGGCAAATAGTCATTGGCATAGTAAGAATCAGAGTTCTGAAAATTTCACTATGGATGAAAACTCCATAATCTGCATCAATGTTGTTTTTTTTGTAGTATAGTTAAACTAGTTTTTTACTATATAATTTGCTTGGAATCTACAACCATATTATTATGATTCTTCAAAATCTCCCCCTTTATCTGCAAGAGTAAGCTTGAAGCTTAAAAGCAGAAATTAAACTACCATATCTCTAAAGAAGCTCTCTCTCTCTCTCTCTCTCTCTCTCTCTCTCTCTCTCTCTCTCTCTCATCTGTCTGTCTTTCTTTCTCTCTCCCCTCTTTTATGCAGATTCTGTAAACCACTAGTTCCCGAGTCATCATCATCAAAATGAAGATGAAAGGCATAGATATCTTCTGTGCATCCCAAGCTTCAACAGCCATATGTTTGAGCATGGATCAAGCATCATCCTCCTCATCCTCATCAATCATTCAACTTGGTGGCAGAGCAATCGACCGCCACAACCCCATTATCAAAGATGCAAGAAGAAGCACAAGCGCCAGAACTCTGCCCATTGCTCCATGCTCTTCTTCTCAGTCGCCAATCAATCCCAAGGCTTACCATCAACTCCAAAAGAGCAAGAAGAAAAGCTCCTCCTCCTCATCATCAAGACCAAGCACTGACCATCACCAAACCAAGAAGAAGAGCTCCTCTTTTAGCTCCACAAAAGAAAATGACCAGAAGAGGAAGAGCAGTGCTTCTAATCCCAAGCCAGATGATAATGTTAAGAAATTCTCCTCTGTTCCAAGTGAGAGTGTTACTAAGAGCTCTGCCAACCCAATTGATCTCATCACCCCTCCTGGCTCCTCCAGATACCTTTTGAGTGACACTGTGTACTTTGATGGGTTATCTGATTATGATCCAGTTTTGGCATTGGTTCCAGTTGGGCACAAAAAGAACCCAGCTACAGTGCTGAACCAAGAAAATCAATCTGCCAATAATTCTTCAACAGGCTCTTCCTCATCTCTGTCAAAACCACAACCACCACCACCACCTCCTTCCAACCAGGTTTGTCCAAATTGTTTTTTTTTCTTTCTCAAAATTAATCTAAAATCATAACCACCTTATGTCATATAAGCAGCTAGCTGTATGTATAGCAGTAAAATAAAATTAAAAAAAAGTGTATGATTTGATTGCAGGTTGTAGTCTTAAGGGTGTCCCTGCACTGCAAAGGCTGTGAAGGAAAACTGAGAAAACATCTCTCTAGAATGGAAGGTAACCCCCTATGCTTTGTTACCATACAGTAATTGTTTAGCTCCTTGAAATTAAGATAAGAAATTCAACAAGATTGCCTCCTTTTTATCTATGTTAAGAGTCATAATCAAGAAGTCATTCAGTAAATTTAAAATCCAATTAATGGTCATTCTCATAAATATATGAACTTAATATTATTGTTGTCAATTTATGTGAGCAGGAGTGACATCTTTCAACATAGACTTTGCAGCCAAGAAGGTGACAGTCAGTGGAGATGTAACCCCATTGAGTGTCCTTGCCAGTGTCTCAAAGGTGAAGAATGCTCAATTTTGGCCAACAGTGTCTGCATCATCTACCTCACCAGCTTGTCCTACCAAACTAGAGGCCAAGAAATAATATAACAGGTAATTGAAGAGAGAGAGAGAGAGACTGGGCTACTGTACCTGTATGGTTTGGATGTGAATGAATTAAATGAATTAATAATTAATCTTAGTGTAAATACACTATTAGCAGCATGGGTGGAGAGGAACCAGATTCTGTATTGCTTGGCAGGAACTAGGTAGGAAGTTGAGTGAGTGGTAGAATAGAATCCATATCATTATCATATTATGGTTCACTCTTTTTAGTTTGCTTTGAGTTTGGGACCTTTGCTTTCTGTTTCTTATAAGAAAAAAGGTGGAGTCTTTTAGGGTACCCTACAAATTAAAAGTCTGCTTGGCTGGCCTCCCCATTTTATTCTATTTAACAAGTCCCCATGTTTTTGTTTGATACTGCCAGCAGGTCCTTGTGCTTCCTAAAAGCTATTTTGTTCTGTATTTTACCACTGTTATGCGCTGTAAATATTGCTTAGGAAACAGTAAAAATCTGATTGTTGGGTTGCCGGCTCCAGGACCATATTCTTGGTTGCAGCCAGGTAAAACCAACTAAGGTAAAGGCACCCTTTTCTCATCAAAACGGTTAACTCTAGATGACCCAACTTTTTTTTCCCAATGTAGGTGGCATTTTAACATTTAGTTATCCAAAATTGTTATTTTTCTTCCCGCCTTCTGTCAACTTAAAAATATAAAGAAACAAGAATATTACTAAATGGGTCTTAAAATGTATCACAGTAACCCCTATACCAAACAAAAACGTCTGAAGCCCACACCAATTATTTGATATTGACTCATGCAAGAGGTTCCAGTTGCACATGGCTGAACATAAGATGTGTCCAAGGGAGCAAGGGATTCGAACACAGAATCTCGGGTGCATGAGTGCTCATAATCACTTAAACTACAAGCTTTTTGTCCAAAAACACGTAAAAGCAAAAGAAAGTGAAAAACATGTGATGATTAGCAACTTAATTAATAATTAGTATTGTCCTAACAACCCTGACTCTTAATGGGCTATTCTTTTGGGCCGAATTCTTGTGAGCAGCCAATCAGAATATGCTTGTAAATTCAAATATGTACAAGCATATATCATAACAATCTTAACAAGTTTTTCATTTAGAATTTTACTCTCATCATGATTGCCCACTACTTATTTTTCTCACAATCTGTTATACTTCTAAAAAGAAAGAAAAACTGTCTTCCTTCTTTCTCTGGTCAAATTTAAACCTCAAAAAAACCTTCGAAATTGATGAAAAAGATGAAGATTATCTACTAACCTTTTCTCTCGTCATATAAAACCCATCAAAACCAAGCCCTACAAATTAACTCTCTCCCACATAAACCCTCCTGCCTCTGCCAGCCTCTCACAATGCTCAAACAGCGCAAACCAGAAGACATAGAAGCACCATTCCCTTGGGCTGCACCGAAACGTGCCACGGTCCATAGTCTTGAATATCTCCATTCCAATCGCATCGGCACGATCAGCGGCCTTGTTCAATGCCAGAAGTGTGACGAAAGCTATGAGATTTCTTATGATTTGAGGCAGAAGTTCACCTGAGATTGCGAGTTACATTTGGGAACACAAAAGCGTTATGCATGACACAGCACCAACCGTTTGGATGAATCCCGCATTGCCTGATTGCAAGCATTGTGATCAGAGGAATTGCATGAAGCCTGTGATTTCCAAGAAACGGTCCATCAATTGGTTATTCTTGTTTTTGGGTCAAATGCTTGGGTGCTGTCAGACTTCTGAGTTGAAGTATTTCTGCAAGCACACCAAGAATCATAGGACTGGTGCTAAAGATAGAGTCTTGTATCTTACTTATTTAGGCATCTACAAACAGCTTGCTCCCCATTGGACCCTTTGATATATTTAGATTATGCGGCGCTATTAATTTAGCTTAGTTTTTCATGGGTCTTCTTTGAATTATTTCACGGGTTTTCTTTTAATTTTCAAAGATTATATATAAAATAAGGTTTTGTGTTGCTTAGTTTTGTTTCGTATGCAAATATTGTTTTTCACGTTTTACTTTAATCTTATTGTCAAAGTCAAAATCCTTAATGTTTTGTAATCAGAGAATATGGAATTTTATCTCATCTGCTACATTCGAATAAAAATCAAATATCGATCGCTAACATATATGTGCATTGGATTTGATCAAAAGAAAAGTGACAACCTCACATTGGATTTTGGATTTGACGCAAAAGAAATACAGGTTTTACTAATGAAATATCATCTGTATAAGGGTAGGAGATTGGTTTTCACTTTTATGGATGCCAAAAGAGAAATCTAACTTGTTACATTTACCTACAGAGACTTGGTTGGGAGGTTTAACATTCAAAATGGAGGGTTTAACATTCAAAATGTAGGTTTTAACATTAGTTATGAATACAATTATTGCTTAATCTAAAAACAACAACTCTACTATTATTGATGCCAAACCCCATAAATACCAAAAGGGCAACTTAACATTCTGTGTTTTGCATACTTGTTTGCATACATGTCTTTCTTCTTTCTCTGGTCTTCCCTCTTGCCATCAACACACCACAACACCACCAAAACCTTTGCCTCTGTTTTCCCCAGTGACATAGCCACCACCTTTTGATTTTCACCTCTGCCATCCCCCACACAATCCTCCTGTTATCTCCCATGATCTACCCAGCCCGTCCCGCCCATCCCAAATGTGAAGATCCCTTGCTCAAACCCTAAGCCAAGGCAAAACGGAAACCATCCCAGCCCGATACCATTGGGCTACAACAAAATGAGATCACTGGCCTTGTCAATGCAAGAAGTGCGATCAAAGCTTTGAGATTTCTTATGAGTTCCAAATTTAAATTGGAAAAATAAATTACCCGCAAGATAATGAAATAAATTTATAAAACTCCAACAACTCTGCATTGAAAAGTTTAACCAGATTTTGATCAATTACCTCATCTTACTTCCCAAAATCTGATTTTTGCTATCCACCAAAGTTTTTCAAATCCAAAACATCTACAAAACTTTAAATTCACAACTACTTATTTTCTCAAAATTCTTGGAAGGAAAAAAATCTGTCGGCTTGACATCAACACCATCACAGCCTGTGTCTCTATTGTCACTAGTGACACAACACTACACTGCCTTTTGACTTTCACTTCTCCAATCTCCTACACAACTTCAACATGCTCAAACAAGGCAAACCATAAAATATACCAGCCCAGCCCCATTCCGTTGGGCTAAAACGAAACATGCCACGCTCCACATAAATATCTCCTGTCCAATGGCATGGACATGATCAGCGGACTTGTTCAATGCGAGAAATATGACAAAATCTTTGAGATTTCGTATGATTTGCAATATAAGTTCATGAAAATTGCGAGTTACATTTCGGAATACAAACGCACCATGCATGACAGAGTACCAGCCGTTTGGATTGGATGAATCCCATACTGCCCAATTGTAAGCATTGTGTACAGCGCAATTTCATGAAGCCTGTGATTTCGAAGAAACGGTCCATAAACTGATTGTTCTTTCTTTGGGTCAAATGCTTGGGGCTGTAAGCTTCCTGAATTACTTCTTTTGGGTCAAGTATCTCTGCAAGCACACCGAGACTCATAGGACTGGTTTGGTGCTAAGGATAGAGTCTTGTATCTTATTTGGGCCTCTGCAAACAGATTGATCCCAATGGAACCTTTGATATTTGGATCATGGGGCACCAATTAGTTAACTCTTAGTTTGAGTTTTCATGGGTTTTCTTTGAATTTTCAAAGATTACGTAACTCTGGTTTCAATAAGGTTTTGGGTTGCTTAATCTGTAATCTTTGTTTGATTTTGACTATGAGTTTTGTTCGCAATGTTTGTAATACTTGTTTGTGAGAAAACGAAGGAAAAAAATTCATATTTTATACTTCACTAGGAATTTTTTGAAATTTTGAAATTCTTTTATTTGATTTCATCCCTAGTAATTAATCAAGTGTTGGATATGGGGTTCACCAATTGTACAGGTTTTATGTGAAGCTAACAGAAAAAATGACAATGAATTCTAAAAAACTAGCCCCTTGGCACATGATTGGTTTTCTTTTTTCTTTTTTCTTTTATTTTTAGAATTAAGAAAAAATAACATGGGTAGTTATGTTCCATAAAAGTAGGACCTATTATCTAATTTTGTTTTTAATTTTAATTTTTTTAATATGAAAAAATGTGAATTTACCATATTATCCTCATTTAATTAATAATTTCAATTCTTAATGTTTGAATTAACCAAGGGTATTTTATGGTATTTTGAATATTTCACCATTCTCTACCTTTTGCTTTATATATATATAGATTTAGAACAATCAAGATTTGTCGGTGCTTGGACACTCAAAAGGAGAAAAGAAAAAAGACATATTGGTAAAAAAGGAAAAATAAGACATGTAAAAACACGGCATTGAAATTTGGAATGTGAAAATATAAGATAACCAATGAACCTATTGGTGGTTTATTGTTTCAGTTTTGTGGAGGAGACAAAGAAGAAGAAAATTTGGGGAAGAAACCTCAGAGGAGAAGAAAAAAGACAAGTTTTAATTGAAGGAATACAATGGATTTTGAGAAAATAAGAAGTACTGGTAAATCAAAAGTATTCTGATGGGGTAGAATTCTAATTGTAAATTTTGATTCACTACTACTTCTTATTTTCTAAAATCTGTTATATTTTCAAAACAAAACTGTCTTCCCTGAAAAATTTCTTCCCCAAATTTTATCTGAAGCCTTCTTGTCTCCATAAAAAAAATTGAAACTCTAAACCACGAAGCCCTCTAAACCCTCTGAGATTGATGAATAAGATGAAGATCTTCTAAACCTATCCCTCTCAACTGGCCATAGCCCACCAATGCCTACAAACTCACCCCAAACTCCTCCCTTGACATCAACACCTTTCACCAGTGCCACAGCCACCATCCTCACCACGACCTTCTGATTTTCACCTCTCCAATCTCCAACACAACCCTACTGACTGACTGGAAGATCTAAGCTAGAAATATCTAGCTCTAACATGTAACTCATCTCTTGAAAACTTATATATGTGATATACTTGTATTTTTTATTTCGGCCCCAACCTTACAATTCTAACTCCACCCCCTGGCTACAATGAAACGTACTCCTGTCCAATCGCATGAGAATGATCAGCAGCCTTGTTCAATGCGAGAAGTGTGACAAAAGCTACTAGATTTATTATGATTTGCACCAGAACTTCATGGAGATTGCAAGTTTCCTTTCGGAACACAAACGCACCATGCATGACAAAGCACCAGCCGTTTGGATGAATCCCGCATTGCCCAATTGTATGCATTAATTGTGAATAGAAAATTGTATGAAGGCTGTGGTTTCGAAGAACGGTCCGTCAATGTGCTGTTCTTGCTTTTGGGTCAAATGCTTGGGTGCTGTAAGCTTTTTGAATTGAAGTATTTCCGTAAGCACGCCAAGAATCATATAGGACTCATAATCCTTTTGTTTGCTACATTTGAATAAAAATCAAATACACATTAGACTGGACAAACGACAACAAGAATCTAACACTTGTCTTCTTCCTCCTCCTCATGATCCATCAAGAACTTTGAATTTGGGATAAGACTAATTCAAATGTGTGACAAGTACTAAAGATACCAATTACTAGTCTACTCCACATGTCATATTATACGTGAATTTCTTGTGTCACATATCAGTAAATTAATGAAATATCGACGAATTCGTTAAGTTCGTAATAGTTGATACCTTGACTTTCAATATGATGGTAATAGTTGAAACATTGACTTTCCATTTGGTCATTGTCATTCCCTGCCTTCAATTTGACAGTAATTCATATATCAAACAAAAACTTGAAGTTGCACATGGCAGAACTTACCATTCTGTGTTTTGAACACCATATAGTAAGTTGATTTTAAAAATTGAGGATTTGAAAGGGTGCTCAGCTACTTTTGAAGTATTTACTTTGTAATTGAACTACTATAGGTAATTTTGAAATATTTACTTTGTAGTTGAACTAGGTAATGTTGTAGGAGTGATATCCCACAAAACCTGCTGATTATATCCCACTGTCTTATCTAAATCAACTTCCTATAGACTAGGGACTAGGACTAATTCAAATCTAAAGTAATCAAAGACAACAAACCCTGCTAAAACAAAAGAAACTAAAACACAGACAATGATTTTAGCAACTTATTTCACTATTTGTTTTAATTAAAACACAATAATTCGATGTTTAGCAAATTATTTCCTTGTTCCTCAGTTCAGAATTTTTTTTTTCAAACAACATCGATAAATTCACGGTGGAGTTCCAAATTTAAATTGGAAAAGCAAACTATCCAAAATATCGTATCTACAAGCATATACCATAACAATTTTACAAGGTTATCCTTTTAAAAAATAAAATAAAAAATTTAGAATTATAGTCTCATCAGAATACTTTTGATTCCCCACTACTTATTTTCTCAAAATCAGTTATATATTCCTAAACAAAAACAAAACTGTCTTCCTTCTTTCTCTTGTCTTCCCTCAAATTCGTTCCCCAAATTCTTTCCAACGCCTTCTTTGTCTCCACCCTAAAAACCCTAAAAACACCATGAAGAAAAACTTCAAACCCTCTGAAATTGATAAAGAACATGAAGATCTCCTGACCCTTTCCCTCTCAACGCCTCATAGCCAACACATGCATTCAAACTCAAGCCGACCTCCTCTTTTCTTGGCTTCAACACCACCACCACAACGCTTGTCTCTCTTTTCAGCAGTGCCACAGCCACCGTCCCCACCGCCGCCTTTTGATTTTCACCTCTACCATCTCCCACACAACCCTCCTGCCTCTCACCATGACCTACCCTGCCCGTCCCGCCCGACTCGAACCCGAAGATCCCCTGCTCAAACCCTAAGCCAAGGCAAAACAGAAGCGATACCAGCCCCATACCCTTGGGCTACAACAAAACGTGCCACGGTCCACAACCTTGACTATCTGCAGTCCAATCACGTGAATACGATCACAGGCCTTGTTCAATGCAAGAAATGCGACCAAAGCTTTGAGATTTCTTATGATTTTCCCAAGAAATTCCTCGAAGTTGCGAAGTTCGTTTCGGAACACAAATCCGCCATGCATGACAGGGCACCAGAATTTTGGATGGATCCCACATTGCCCGATTGCAATCATTGTCATCAGAGCAAATGCATGAAGCCTGTGATTTCCAAAAAACGGTCGATCAATTGGCTCTTCTTGCTTTTGGGTCAGATGCTTGGGTGCTGTAAGCTTTCTGAGTTGAAGTATTTCTGCAAGCACACCAAGAATCACAGGACTGGCGCCAAAGATAGAGTCTTGTACCTTACTTATTTGGGCATCTGCAAACAGGTTGATCCCAGCGGACCCTTCGATGCTTAGATTATGGGGAGCCAATTTATTAGGTTTTCAGTTGAGTTTTCATGGGTTTTCTTTGAATTTCCTAGATTATGTAATCTGCTATCAATAGGGTTTTAGGTTGCTTAATTTGTAATCTTTTGTTTGATATCATATTCAAGTGTTGATTTTGTTTTATATTCCAAATACCAAAGTTATACTGATTGGGAAAAACTTAATTACCATTCTTGTGTATCAGCACCTCATTGGTTCCGGATTCTTTGCTTTGATTTTCTCTGTCATGATCTATTTTACCTTTGTTCTCCATACATAACAAAAAACGAGCATACACTTATTAATTATCAAACAACGAGCATACACTTATTAATTATTTGATTTCTCAAACGCGAATTTGACATAATTCTTGGTCTTCTCCATCTCTCATCAGCTTTACCCCAGTGAAAGTAAAAATATATAATAAAAAAGTAACTGAAAAATACGAATGGTATCAAAATATTAATTAATAAATTAAAAGTTCAAAACTAAAACATGAAAAGAAAAAAAAACTCCCATTCTCTCAAATTGACCCAGATCTTGCTCCAATTTGATTGGAGAGAACAATATTTATTGCCTTTACTTTGTCAAAAAAATATATGATATATGTTATTTATTTCTAAAATACAAGTGCTATATTCTCTACTTTTGGATTGCTTTTTAATGATGTGGCAGCATTACAGTGAAAATAAAGCATATCATGGCAGTGAAAATCAGAGTAGAGGATCCGAATCCCATTTCATCATGTATGTAACAGTCCTATTCCTAATCCATAGGGATTTCTTCCTAATACCTGAAATTTTATAAATATATATAGTCATTTTAAATTTATTTCAAACGTATTTTATGTATAATTTTTTTCAAATTTATCTTCTAAAACTTTATTTAAACAAACCTAATCTTATCCTATTTTTGTTGTTGTTGGAAAACCTAATCTGATCGTGAAAATCGTCTCTAATTTTTTGTTGGTATTAATGGGAATATCAAAAAATTTCTCATTTACTACAAATGACTAAAATCTAAATAGGCATAAAATTGCACAAATTAACTAATTTCTGATGTAAGATTAGTGGATTCAAATAGAAAATCATATCTTTTTTATATTTGTTTTAAAAAAGGGAATATCAATTTTTTTTCTTCTCATTTACTACAAATGACTAGAAACCAAATAATACGCATAACATTGCACAAATCTACTAATTTCTGAAGTAAGATTAGTAAATGGCCCTTGAAATAGAAAATAAATAAATGGCCCTTGAAATAGAAAATAAAATTTGCATAACAGGCGCATGGGATTTGACCAAAAAGAAAAGTGACATTCATTTGAGAAATCTGATTCTAAATTGTTATATAAGGGTCGTGTAGTGGAGATTGGTTTTCATATCCCATTCGTAATCCTTCAAATAACATGGCAGTAGCCTATGAAAAAATTTCATGGGTGGCCTCTCTGCTTGTGCTACTTTTAGGCTTTGCCTCATGCTCTTCACAGCGTGGTGGTGAATTTACCCACAGAAGCTTGAATTTTTGGAAAGCAGCCAGTTCCCGTGTTCCACCAACTGGACCTAACACTGGAACATCAAGAAAATTCAACTTTGGTACTTTGCCAAAGGGCACTCTAATTCCTCCGTCTTGGCCTAGCAAAAGAACTTCAAGACCTCCCCCTCCTCCTCCTCAACCTTTCAACTTTGGTACTTTGCCAAAGTACACTCCAATTCCGCCATCAGGGCCTAGCGGAAGAACTTCGGACCCTCCTCCTCCTCCTCCTCCTCCTCCTTTTAACTTTGGTACTTTGCCAAAGTACACTCCAATTCCGCCATCAGGGCCTAGCGGAAGAACTTCGGACCCTCCTCCTCCTCCTCCTCCTCCTTTTAACTTTGGTACTTTGCCAAAGTACACTCCAATTCCGCCATCAGGGCCTAGCGGAAGAACTTCGGACCCTCCTCCTCCTCCTCCTCCTTTTAACTTTGGTACTTTACCAAAGTACACTCCAATTCTGCCATCAGGGCCTAGCGGAAGAACTTCGAGCCCTCCTCCTCCTCATCCTTTCAATTTCAGGATGCAGTATTCCGGGCCTTCACACGGTCCACCTCGCTACGAGATTCCACCTCCTCCCGCATTTTAGCAATTTCAAGCACCCTATTACTAGGGCGCCAACTACTATTTAAAATTTTCTTTTTTGAGAGGAGACTACTATTTTATTTTTCTAGGTTCCAATTGATGTGTATGATATGATGATTATGATATTTATAATTTTAAATAAAGAAGGTTCATGATGCATCATATGTTAAGGTAATGAAATATTGTCACTCTAAAGTCAATGCTTTATTTATGAATGACATTGTAACCTGTTTCTTTTTTACTTTTTCTTTTTCTCAATTGAAAATAAGGGAAAGAAAAGAATCCAGATACTAAGCTACAAATATTTCTGTATGCAATTCTGACTACATTACAAGCCAGATCTTTCCCTCTTCTTATCCATATAATTAATCTACTCAAATTTTTTAATGTTTTATACAACGCTATAAGCTTATCATTTTGACAGCTCCAATAAAAAAACTTGTGAGAAATAACTAAGACAATGTCCTACGAATATAAACCAAATACGCAAAACGTGGAACAAAAGGCAGCAAAGATCCGCCAACAAATATTCATATCAACTAGTTGTTGTGTAGGGTTAGTAGAGCAAAAACTTCAAAGGTTTTTTAGGTTTTAGACATAAAAAAAATTTTACTATTGGAAAAAGCCAAAGTTTTTTCAAAAAAGACAAAAAAACCGCTCAACTTTCAAATCAAAGACATGCAAATGTATTGGATTCCTTAGGAAATCTAAAAATAAATAAGGGCATTTTTGTCCATTTTTGCTTATTTAAAAATTTTTCTCTCTCCTTTTGCTTTTCCAAAATGTCCCGTTTCGCGGACATTGGTTTTCACTTTTCATTCATAAACCAACAAGAAAAAGAAAAAGGAGAAGCATAAGCACCATGGCAGAAGCCTATCAAAAGCTTTCATGGATGGCCTTTGTGGTTGTGCTCCTTTTGGGCTGTGCTTCATGCTCCTCAGAGGGTGGTAAACTTGCAACAAATAGAGAAGAGAAGCCCAACTTGTTTCATGGAAGATGGGCTACATTTACCTGATTCATCAAGAAAATTCAATTTTGGTATTCTGCCAACGAGCATTCCAATTCCACCATCTCGGCGGCATAGCAGAAAAACATCATCAAGCCCTTCTCTTGCCTTTCATCTGTCGAGAGCTTCAAATTTCGGGATGCAGGACTCTGGGCCCTCATTCCTTTTGCGCAATTACTGTTGCGTTGTCATTTGTCGCGACAACAAGTACTAGAGGCGCCAATTACTCTTTTAATCATTGCATCATATTATATGTAAAATTCTTATGGAAATTCGCAAATAAAGTCCAAAATGGGTTTTATTGTAAATTTGGTTATCTAATTCTTTGTTTTCAATTTACTTAAAATGTGTTTGCATAGTCACTCTATGGTACAATCCAATGCACTGATGTAGTGCACTTTTTAATCATTGAATTGAATTAAAAGATTAAAAATAATAATAATTTGGCCGTTGCACCAGTTAATACATTAGATTTAGTACATAATTACACTTGAAAACTCGAAGTAAATAAAATCACATAAAATAAATATTAGAAAAATTAAAATTTACGTTGACATAATAAAGTAAATAAAATCAACAACATGGACCTTTCAGGATAGAACAACTAGTGAACTACTTGAACATTTCCCTTGAGAAATAAATAATGCGGAGAGAGGAAAAAAAAATTGTTCTTGACTTATAGATCATTGATCTCAAATTTATGTATAGTAGAACGATGTTAACTTGCCAAGTCTCGTCACCAATAATTGCACAGTGGTTCCAAATAATTGCTCAATGGAAAAAAAGAATGATTTGGAATGATGTTAACTTGACAATAGGGTTGAAATTAGTGGAAAAGAGCTTTAACTTGCAAATCGGTGGTCTCAGGTTTGACCTCCAATGACATCTTAATAAGGTGTGTGCGTGTGAGAAAATCCCCTCCCCTTCCTAACTTTAGCCAAAAAAAGAAGAACCATGCTAACTTATAAAAGAGTCATCTTTGTCGAAAATTAACATTGCCATAACATTGGTGGTGAGCAAAAATACATTTGTCAAAAATTAACAGGGGCATATTACATAAAGCAGAAGTTTACACACGAAACATTGTTCACTGCACCTAATAGTATGGTGCTCAACGAAATTGAACAACATGAGATTAAACAAATCAACGTGTGATATCCCAACTCAACATGATATTAAATTCTGTACCATGCCAGAATTTAATATTTCCTTCAATTTCTTAATGAATCTAGAAGAAGATAACCAAAATTCGGTTTTCCCTAAAATAGCTGGACATGCGCCTTCTTTGCCAGGGCTAGATGGTGGAGATGGAACCTTTGATCATACACCAAAATTTAAATTTTTTAGTGAAGCTGAAAGCGTTGGCCTTGCATTGCCTCCTGTGCTTGGGTTAGATGGTGGATATAGAGTCTTTGGTAACATGCCAAAGTTTAATGGACTTGCATTGCCTCCTGTGCTAGGGCCAGATGGTGGATATGGAGCCTTTGGTAACATGCCAAAGTTTAATTTTCTTGATGAATATTCTAGAACAACTAGACTCACACTATGTGATTTGCCAGAAGTAGAAGGTGAAGTTGGAGTGGTTTTTGGTAGCCTAGGTTCACTGGAATCTGGAGAGCAAGAGGCAAAGCCCAAAACTAGCAAAAGCACCAAGGTTATCCAACACATTTTTTGGGGGGCACCTGCCATTTTCTTCATGCTTCTCTTCTTCTTCGTCTTCTTCTTTTTGACTTTGAGTTGGGAATGAAAATCATATGCTCCACTCTGCCTTATAATTTGCATTCATCCCTAGCAATCAGCCACGATTTCCTCTTCCCACTCAATCACTTGATTGATTGATTGATTACTGTAATCGCTCCTGAAGACTTGCCGTTTCTTTTTCAGTCATTGATTTCCCTAAATTGTTAATTGTAATCAATCAGCTACTGATTAGGAAATTATAGTTATGGTAAATTCTTTACTTTCTTTCAATCAAAGGCCTATAGGGTTCACCAATCGTGGAGGTTAATTATGTGAAGCTAAGGGGAAAATGACAATGAAATATAATAAATTTAGAACAATCTAAATATGTGTAGGTGGTTGGAGGGAGCATATTTGCTCGTCACTTTAACCCAATGTGTACCATCACCATCATTCACAACACTTGACACGTGTCCATGGGCATAACAATGGTTCCATAAATACAAAGCAAAGAGTTAACTATAGTTATGCCAATAGATGCGTGTCAAGTGTTGAGAAAAGTAGTGATGATACATCTTGGATTAAAGTGGTGTTACTTTAATTTAATTAGATATGTAAAAAATTAACATTGAAAATCTAGAACGAGTACATGAATATATGAAATATGAAAAATAGGAGAAAAACAAGAATGAAATATTCTTAACTTAGAAAATAGATTTTAAAATTATGGTAGGTTGATGCTATAGGATTGTAAAAATCTTGGTATTATCCATTGAATATTACACTAAATACATGAATTATATGGAAAATAATCTATAGGATTGTAAAAATATGGAAAATAAATCGAAGGCCATTTGAGCCATTGAATGATAACCCAAGTACATGGACAAGGCCACAAATTTAACCATTATATTAACTTATAAACAAACACTTCAGCCATTATAAGGAACACGTTTGTGACATTTATAGCAAGTTTGTTACCCTATCGATTATATGTTGCAAATTTAAATATTTTACTAAGCTGGATACATGCTACATTTTGGTCGTGACAGATTATTTATCCTAGTACTAAGGTCCTTCAAAGTTGAAGCAAGAAATGAAGGCCAATTTTCAAATTTTGTCCAAATTAAAGGTAAAATGATGAGTTCGTCGTGAAATGAAAAATCTCTTCAACTTTCATGTTTTTGATTTTTTTAACATACTTGAAATTTGTGAGTTATCTAATCCAATATAATTCTAGGTACCAAACGTGGCCTTGTGGATTTGAAGGACTGGTCGGTGTTCTTCTGGTGGGTTCAGATGGTTGAACTGGTGCATCAACTTTATTTAAAAATCTGAAATAGGTGAGCTCACACAATTATCTGCTACTAGCTAGAACAAGGGGGTAGAACTGCAGTGCACCTTTTGTAACATACCATAGTTTAATTTTCTGATGAACTTTGCTGAGGAGGACTTGCATTATGCCTACCACCAGGACCAGACGGTGGAATGAGAGTACCCTTTGGCAGCATAGAAAACTCCAATTTTATTGGAAATGGAGGACTCAGACCATGTCCTTTACCTGCATCAGAAGGTTGAATTGGAGGGCCTTTTGGTAATACACCAAACTTTGATTTTCTTGGTTGAAATGATAGAGGGGGTGGATTTTTGCTATGTCCCTTACTTGGACCAGATGGTGGAATTGGAGATCTAGTTGATAGCATGTAGCCAAATGTAGCCCCTCCTCCATGAAACTGCCCATGCTTCTCTCCTTTATTTGTGATGAGCTTACTTGCATCTGGGGAGAAAGAGGCAAAGCCCAACACTAGCACAAGCACCAAGGCCACCACCAATGACAATTTTTGACAGGTTAGTGCCATGCTCTTCTTCATGAATCTCTTGTTTTCGCTTTTTCCTTTTTGTTGTTTCTGAAATTCTGAGTGAAAATCATGCCATACTTGCTCATATAGGAATTAGGTTATACTTCACTAGGAAATTCTTTAAAGTTTTTACTTTATTTTCCTCAAGTGCTTGTTTGCTATTTAATAGCACTATCAATCCAAGTTAGCTCTATGCCATTGTATTTCATCTGTATATTCGTCTGTAGCCAGTAAAGTATGCCATATGAGGTTCACCAACTATGGAAGCTTATCAAATGTTTTCTTCGTTGAAGGATAAGAGGAAATTTTATCTTAAAGTCATTTTCACCGTACTAGCCTGGTATTCATAAATATGAGTTCAATACGGTTACGTATAAATACAATTCGATATCAATACATATTTATGGTAAGTTTCCGTTGTGGTCGCAAAACTTGGTTGTAAGTGTCCTGTTGTAGTCTGTAGACTTGTAGACTCCCAAAAGAAAAAAAAAGGTAACATCATTTTTCAGTCCCGAAGCATTCTATTCTCCATCATTAGTCATACCAAGTTAACAACTTTTGTAGCAAAGACTAATCTTTTTATTCATCTTTCTCATGAAACTACCATTTCATGGCTTCATTTACATACTCTACTTAAGCTTCTAGACCAACAGAAAAAAACTTCAGTTGAAAATTTCCGCATTCTACACTACATAACCACTACCTCTGCTACTAGCTCATCTATCAACGAGTTCGCTACTTCCCTACCTATTAGGTCTATATCATCTCCCAAATCCAACCACAGCGAGTCTCTTTCGAGCACTTTCTCCAGATTGTCCTCATTTGCGTTCTCTTCCTGGCTTGCCAGCAACTTGCACAGAACACCATGGAGTGCACTTCTATGGATCCACTTGGGACCAACTCTTTTGTTTGCAGGCCTCACCCATGGGTGTGGATCAGTGAATTGCTCAAACATCTCCAGAAGCCCTGAATTTATCTGGTCGAACAGTAATCTCCTCTCAGGCTTTGGCCAAGAAGTCTGATCAGAGTATTTCTTCTCAAGCTCTTCGAACAGTAAAGGACTCACAGGACATTCTGGAGTGTGCCATGTTGTCAAAAAGGTACCCGAGTCAGCACTGTTTAAACCAGATTCAGTTAAAATATCGGCCAAGTACAAGGACTCCCAGCTCCCTTGATCTCTACGAAGTCCTATTGCATCTGAAAACCCAGTAGACTCTTCACCAACATCTTCATCACTTGAGATTTCCATGGGTCCCTCTGCATATGGTTCTGACTCCAGCTTGAGTAGCTGAAGCTGCATCCGAAGCCCTAGCAACCAAATAGAATATGAAAATTAAGGCAAACAAAAGGAATTGATCAATTAACTAAACGAACGCGCAACACAGAAGGAAGAAAAGGTAATCATAGTCATAATAGAACTCAAAACAGATTCAGTTCAACAAATCCAATTGATAAGGCAGACAAAATTTCAACTCCCACCAATGACTACAGCCCACCTTATCCAACATCTACACTCAGAAATTGCAAAATCAACTGACTTCTCGCACATGATATAATTGGAAAGCAGCAAGGCAATAGTTTATTCTATTCCAGCACCTACATATTCCATAGGGAAACTAGCACTAGAAACCTAAAAAATAATCAATATAAATGGTCTTCCAATTACCTTGCAGGTCAGCATTGAGACTCTCAAAGCATTCAGGAGAAGATGATGCATCATCAGTGAAAGGAACTTCCAGAACTGAAACAGGACTGGGTTGATCAGCCTCCTTAGTTCTTGCAGGCGATTCTATTCCAGGTACAGGGTGGTCAGAAGGAACTGCCCGTTCCACAGGTGGCCTGATTGATGGTTCCTGGAAATTTATCGAAATATTTAAGAGACAAAAATATTCTTGATGCAAAGCTCTGCTTTCAACTGAGCAGGAAATGAATTCCAAACACGTAGAATAGAAGTGACATACACAAAGTATGATGAATTGATACATCTACTTGTTTGTACAAAATGGTATATGATAAAATCATCAACAATAATTAACATCTCACAAAGAGTAATATGCAACAGGGTTTTTTTTTGGTCTTCAGGAACATAAAAAATGAAATCATATAAGAGTTTTTTAGAATCAGTCCTGGGGATTTCAACATCAATAAGTCTCTACTAAGTCGATATCATTACAGCATTGATATTATCCTATCACACAATCAAAAACCAAGCAGACAATTAAACACAAACCTGAGGAACTAGGTTCTCTTTGGGAGTAGAAGAAGAATCGCCTTCTACCAACATACGAGAAGATGATTCTGGAAGGAACGTATCAGGAGTTTCGAAAGGTATGGATGCATCCGCATCCACCAGTTTTACAGAAGCTGAACTTGAATCTGCAGCATTACTAGGTGATGACTCAAAGACTGAAATATTCTGCTGGGATTGATTGTTCTCTTCAAAGTCGGTTTTATCTTTACTCTGAGTAGTTTGAGTTTCAGGTGAAATGTCAATAGCTTCCCTACTTAAGGAGCAAGAAGAATACAATCTTTTATTACTGGATCTAGAGTGTTTGCGGGCACCTTCTCTAAGATTAAGATTCTCCTTTACTAGCTGGTTTCTTTCGTGCTGGACTGTTTCTTTTGGTATCAGATACCTGTCATCACGTATAGTTTCACGGCGCATACTTGTTTTATAACTTCCAAATGCACTAGATGAAGCGGGAAGAGATTTCGATCTTGATAAACTATTGATACATCCATCCTTCCAGCCATCCCTACTGCTGATACCCAGAGGTCCACCCCGTGCAGGTGCATCTTCAGTAGAAAATTTATCTCTAAATCCTGCCTCACCAATCATGGCATTCAATTTTTCTGCTCGCATTTCCTTGTCGGGGATAGCAAGCATTTCAGCAAGGGTGCTGCCCCTGCTAACAACTCCCACTTCTTGGGACTTGTGAGTCATTTTCCATCTCTCTGAGAGTCTCTTCTTGGCCTCTCTACTCACAGTTGATTCAGTAGAGCATGATGATGACGGCCTAGAGTGATTATTCAAGTGAAAGGAATGTCTGGAAGCCACTGACATCACCTCTGATTCATTTGCAGATTCATTCTCAGACATGCTACAAGAACTCTCATCACCAGCATATCCTTTCAAACCAGATGATGAAATACGTACAAAACCGGCGCTAAAGTTATTCCTCATTTGCCTTGTGATTTCCTTAGCAACTTCCCTAGATTCTCTAGACTTATGCGTCAAATGGCCATCTTTATCTTGGAAGTTTTTCCTTCCCCATGATTCTGTCTCCCTATTTCTAATGCTCGGAAATTCCGCGTGTTTCCTACCATCTAACATAGAAGCATGAGAAGAACAAGGTGATGAAATAGTTTTGGTAGCATTCAGCATCTTCCCAAGGTTAGGTTTCAGAACAACTATCCTTGTAGGAGGAATGGAAGATTCATTTTTTGCTTCTGATAGGTTTAGTGATGACTTGAGAGAACTATGACCAGTATGTCTACTGTCAGAGTGGCTAGAAAAAGAATTGCGATGCTCCTGAGGAGATTTACATTTATTCTTCCGAGGGGTTTCTCTTACCGATGTCCAGCCAAGGTCAATGTTCTCATACCTCTGAGCTTCTGATGACTTCATAGAGGCTATGCGACCACAACGGGAATTGGGGCCACCTTGCAGATCATGCAGATGCTTTGCGAACAATGAGTCTGGTTGCTGAAGAAATTTTAGAAGAAGATCCTTGTTAGAATCCAGCACCTCAAGTGCATCATGGAATTCCTTTGAATCCTGTAGCCTCTCATCTGTTGAAAGACGTTTAGCATCCATGAATTTTTGTCGAACAAAAGCCATCTCAGCATCACTGAGCTTCGAGTTAGCATTCCCTCGTGATGAGTAACTACGACCTTCTACATTTGAAGCTTCGAAAACTTCAAACACATCCTTGAATTCTTGTTGCTCCTTTGAGTTCTTCCTAGATGAACGGCGGTCATAACACATGCTGCTCTTCTCCTCTTTCTCTACCAATCTTGTCCTCTGAAGACAATTCTCTGAAATGCTTTTCTGTTGTCTATGAGCAGGCTGCTGAGGTGGCAGCCCATCAAGACCCATCAATTTGGCAATAACGCTTGGCGATCTCCTTCTGGGTTCAGTTTCTCTCAACATCTCCTCAGCTAATAATTTCTTTATTGGAGTTCCAACAACTTGCTTTGAAGATCGTCGCCCCAACTCAAACGTGAACTGCAAGGGGAAAAACAATACACTTGATCATGAATGCCATATCTGTATTTGTTATTTTGAAAATAAATCAAAATGAGGGAAGATTTCACAGAAAAGCACCATTCTTTGGCTCGCTTCAACACAAAAAAGTGGTTACTCTGTTTGTGCAACAAATGACAGGAAAACAAAAAACCAAATCATGCAGCTCAATATACACAACTAGAAAATGAGCTTACCGAGTCGTCCCCTGTAGAGCCACTACTGCAAGAACTAGAATCAGAGGCCAACTTTGGAAAGTTTTTCTGTTTCTGAACCTGCCTCTTTCCTGGAAATAAAACCATAAAACAACATCAGGATGTCCCTTCCAAAGCATAAACAAAGTGAGAAGGATCTACTTCATAAAATTTACAAGCAATTAGAAATCAAAATAACTAGTACCCAACCCAGTAAATAATCAGAGAGCGATTAAACAGTTCATGGGAAAAAGACTGGAACAATAAAACGTAGAAAACATGGCAATGTCTGGAAAACAGCATGCAGAAAACAGAGGAAATTTCATAACTGTCTTTGACTAATCAAAAAGAAGCAATTGAATTATAACTCATCATCTCCTAGAATTCATTATGGAAACAAAGGAAATCATGGCAATACCACCACAGAAAAGTCACAAACTTTACCAAATTACAGAGACAAACCAAAATAACCTGCATTGCACTGCCAGTAGAGAAAAGAAATTAAAGCTGATAAATAAATAAAAATTGTTGCCTTTAGTGGATAACATGATAAAAGAAAATTTGAGAAAAATTCAAAGTGGTTATGAAGTTCAAAACTTTTTTATTTTCTTTAATTGGAAAAGAAGAGATTAGTAGATTCCGTTCAAGGGAGCTTGATAGTTTAGCTTAATCGTTGCGTTTCGAAAACACCGAGGGAAAAATAACTACTTTCAGCCAAAATCTGAATTTCGTCTTCCTTCTTTTTTTTCTTTCTTTCTTTCTCTCGGTTTTCTCGGAAAACAAACAGGGTCGGAATTTCAGACAACTTACGGAGCTGAAAAAACACAAAACAAAAGCTAAAAAAGCGAAATTCAGAGCACCAGACCTCCTCTAAAAGCTCGTCCAGTGGAGACGAATCTTTCCTCGGAGCTCCTATCAGCAATGCTCGTAATCTTAGACCTCCTTGGCCGCAACTTCTCCATTTTTACTCATTAAAACACCCTCCCAGACCTAAAAATTAAAAATTTACACACACAAAAGTAATGCGGAAGAAACGGGGATCGGAAACTCCCCACAGACGCACGCAACACGAAGCTTCGGAGAAAATCACACCTAAAAAGAAAAAGCCCTAAGTTTTCAGCTCCGCACACAGAAAAAAAAATCAGAAAAAACCAGATCTTAAAAAGAAAGAGAAGGAGAGAGAAGGCTGTTGAAACGGAGACAGAGAGATAGAGTGAGAGTAATAAAGAGGCGTCCGTGCCTGAGAACAGAGAAGAGAGGGAGAGAGAGAGGAAGAGAGAGCGGGTGACCGGGTGTGAAAAGAAGAAAGCGAGAGAGAGGAGAGAGAGAGAGAGTGGGGTTGGTTTTGGTTTTGTTTTGTTTTGTTTTGGGGGTTTTTTGAACTTTCAAATACCGATAGACTGACAGAGGGGGCTCAGCCTCTGCGCGGGCAAGTGGCGTATGTAAAAGGACGTGAGGTGAAACAACAGACTATGGCTCTGCCCCTTTTTCCACGTGTCCTTACTGGGCTATGCCACGTCACTGTCCTGCTTGGTCCTCCATAGCAAGCTGTTGGCTTCACTCCTTGTATGCTAGGTATGTTTTTTGGACAATTTCATGGCTGTTCTGGTGTTTCCCTCCATCATGGTCATATGAGGGTGATTGAAGATTGTTTAACTGCCAAAAATTGCAGGAAATGCTTGTGAGTCTTGTAATGAATACCATGGACATCTCTGTTGTTCAGATGATGTTTGTCGTATGAATAACAATTTGTTTACATGTAGATATGCTCTTGCCTAAAAGATCAATTTGCTGGGGCGAAAGGGGCCAATAACTGAAGGAGTATAGAATTACAGTCGAGTCATTTGCATTAGTAATTTAACGAGTCCACATAATGTGATCGGAAAAGACAACTCCCCTTAACATATAGCTTCTTAATAGGATACTATACATAGATGTCCTTGTCCGGGTGATGCTTGTCATTTGAATGACAGCTTGTTAGTTTGTGATATGTTCTTGTCTAAAACATCAATTTGTCGGTGATGAAAGGGCAAAAATTTATTTTACTTGTACACTAATAACATCCTATATATGCCCTTACATAAAATATCAATTTGTTAGCAATGAAAATGACCAAAATGTGGTCTATCGATGTACTGATACCGTATCTCTACTCTTATCTAAATTATTAATTCGTTGGCGACGAAAAGGGCCAAAATTTAGCCTACAGTTATACTGTCATCGTATCTCTATCATTACCTAAAACATTTATTTGTTAGGGGTGAAAATGGCCAAATTTTGGTTTACCTTTTGCACTGACACTATATCTCTACTTTTACCTAAGACATCAATTTGTCAGCGACGAAAAGAGCCAAAATTTAGTCTACCTTTACACTGACATCGTATCTCTGCCTTTACCTAAAACATCTATTTATCGGCGACAAAAGGAGCAAAATTTGGTTTACCTTTACACTAACACCGTATCTCTGTCATTACTTAAAACATCAATTTGTCAGTGATGAAAAGCCAAATTTAAAATTTTAATTTGTCGGCAACGAAAAGATCAAAACTTCGTCTATCTTTATACTGATTGCGTCTCTCTACACTTACCTAAAACATCAATTTGTTAGTGTCAATAATGGCTTAAACTTTCTAATGACAATGCGTTCACATGCATCTTACTTGCAATTGAAAGGCAAATTCACAATCGAGTCATTCATGTTATGTGACATTAACTAACGCATCTAACATTACACTAAAAATAATAAGGTAGCCAGTAATAAAAGATGAGGAAAGATGTAAGAGCGGGCACAAAAACACTTAGATAGGTATGATTTTTTTGTTGATCGTGATTGTATAAATGTACACATAGGGTTCTTTTTGTTTTTCAACGGGAGAGTGATATCCAAACACCTTTATCTATTATAATATATGAAATACTTTTTCACAACATCGACCGAGTATAAATACCACGTTATTATGCCGTGTGCTGGCATATTTATTTATTTATTTATTTTAATTTCCATTGTTTTGGATGAATGTGGCTCCACCATCTTTATTATATGTACAAATGACACAGACCAAACAAAGAGAGGAATCTTGAATTCTCAAAGCAAATTCAATATGGGTAGCCATTTGTAGGGGTACGTGTAGGAGAGGCAGTCTTGTAGTTACGGCAGCACCCACCCCTTTGTTTTGTTGTGGTAGGGATCAAACAAATGTCATGCAATTACGGGACTTGTGTAAGTTTAATTATATAAAAATGGGTAAACTTAGACATGTTGTTAATATGTGTATTTAACAAATTCTGCTTCCATTCTATTTGATACGAGATTCATTTTATGACCCACAATCAATCAACCTTAAGCTCTTGTTCGGTGTACCTAAAAAAAGGCAAGGCCTATTCTCTTCTAATTAACTGTTTAATTGGTTCAAGTACTAGCATGCGTATAGTGTGTGCGAGTGAGTGAGTTTAGTATGTTATCGTCATTCTCAATAAATAAAAAATCCTTAAAAAATAAAAACACCATAATTATTAATTAATTAGAGCATAAACAAATAGAGGGTCATCCTTGATTTTGGATACTTTTGCCTTCTTCCTCCTCACATGCGCACTTAAAACTTCAATTTTGTACCTGAAAATGTTGAAGATTATGAATTATAAACCAAGCAAACTCTAAACCCATGATTATTGGGTTTTTGCATGCATGATCATGAAGTTAAAATACACTTAGGGGTCTGCATTAGAAACCAAAACAAAAAACAAAAAAAGTTAATTATCAAAGTACCAAAAAAATCGATCATGTGTCTTTTGTGTAGGAGCTGGGGGCAACCACTGAAAATCCACATAGACATAGGCCATTGGGTGTGCTTTACTCTTACATATGATATGACCACCCAACCTTTGGCCCCCCAAAATTTGCATGATTTTGCCTGGCACCTTTATTTCTGTGTAATATGGAATCCAAGCAAAAAGCATCACAACATGGAGATCATTGTTGTCTCCAATCCCTACCATATAGTTGACAAATAAAGCTAGCCACTTAATTTACTTGTCCATGAATTGACATCAAGACGTTTCTCGTTTTCTTTATGTGTTTGATTTGGTTTGGTTTTTTTTTTTTTTTTTTTTTTTTTTTTTTTTTTTTTTTTTGGTTGGTTTCCTGTCACTTTATGCTTTCTGCTTTTTGGTTTGTAATAATTTTTTTTTATAGAATCATGTGCAAAAGCAAGAGGGCGCCCCACAAGCCCATACATCCATCTACAACTAACATAGATGAAGTTTTTCCTTCTTCTGATGCCTGGAAGGACTTGAGTTTGCCAATTGCTGGAGTGTTCTGGTAATGATTAAAAGCAAAAGTTGAAAGCAAACACCATCTTGACTAGACTAAAGTGTGATTATTTAGGTAGAAATCCACAATCATGGCTTTTGAATGCCCGCAATCATCTGTTAACTTTTGACAAATTACAAATTCCTTGATTAATTAATGCAAACTATACCTGCATGCCACAACCACATTGGCCATCTTTCTAAGATTAGGACTTTGAGCTTCATATCTTAACTAGGCAGGCCTGCAGGCTTAGGACTTTCAACTTCATATCTCAACTAGGCAGGCCTGCAGGCTCAGGACTTTCAACTTCATATCTTAACCATCAAAATCTGATGCCAAACTGCTTTGAAATAGCTAGACACGTATAAGTATATTTATATGACCCCCAATCCTGTCTCTGTCTCCAATTGGCACATCGTGTAAAGAAAACTAGGATCACCAAAGTCATCTACTCTAGTTTCTAGCTGATTAATTAATTAAATAAGACAAAACCCAATACTAATCCGTTTCTAGAATATTAAACCTGCTAGCTTTTGGTAGGTCTGTCTTGCAATGAGCCTCTCATTGGCTTCTTATTTTACTCTGTATATTGTGTGGTACTTTCAAATCTTGACTGCATGCATGAATTCCAAAAACAAATTTGCACACGCAAGTTGGTAGGTAGTTTGATTTGCTCATAAATAATGTGCATCCTTTTTTATATATGTTACTCCACGCAAAGGGTGTGTGAGACAGATGATTCTCTAAACTGTACCATGTCTTCTGCCACAAAAAAATCAGAACAGCTTGATGTTTTAGTTTTCTTTTTCTACCAACAGCCGAGGTGGAATTCGAATTTTGAATATCTTTCAATATTAAAAAGAGAAATCTCACTAAAATAAGAGCTGGTTTTCGGCAACTTGGTTAATATATTCATATACCAAGACATCAAACAAGGTTTTCTTGTGCAACATGCATTGATACAAATTGGGTAAAGGTCATTTGGGTGCACCTGGGACAAGAAAATGGGGAAATTGTACCAAAATCTGCAAGAGATCATGTAATTGTCCAAACTAAGAAACCATGTATATTTACAAGTTTCATGAGGGCCACTTGAATTATTATAGAGCAAGGTAAATAAAGTATGGTGCTTGGAAGCTAGACAGGCCATGAGGCATGCCATTACAGAGGCTGGAGGAGAATCTCCACCAAGAGCGGGTGTGACTCAAATCAACACCAAAACCCAAGAAAAAGAATCTTAAGAAAAGAATATGGTGGGAAAGAAATTTAAAGATAAAAAAAAGGGCCTTATATTTCGGCTTCTGTCATCCATGGATGAGACATCCACATTTCATACTTACAAGATTTGGAAACTCAATTTGATTCAATTGTAGGCACCAGGGAGCGTTTCCTTGTATGATTGCTTCAAAGCCTTCAATGGCTCCCATAAGTACAAGAATTTATTTCGACCCAAAAAAAAAGAGTACAAGAACTGATGTGAAATGTGTCACGTCTGTTATATCTGCATCTAATTTTGAATTCTTGTATAAGTTATTATAAGACTTTCACACAGATTGTATTTCTACTGGGATCTGGCTCATCTCTGGAACCATACAGAACACAGACAATTTGTTGAAATCTCCCAACCATTTATTGTACTCAGTTCAGAGTTCAGACCGAAGAAAATAGAACACATTCTAAACCATTCTTTTAATGCTTAGTTCAGAGTTCAGTTTCAGACCAAAGATAAGAGTATCTAGGAATTCTTGCAAGCTTAGTGGAAGTAAAACAGGTTTTGCATAAGTTGGACAGAACTGGACCTCTTGGTTGGCTCCTGAGGCCCAATGGGCCAATTCGTCTAACATGTTGCCATGGTGATTTCACTAAAGTAGCATTGCTGCTATTTGCAGAGGCTAAAGTCACTACCAAAGACTTGTCGCCCCATTCTAAATCCCTGGACTGGTAAGAGCAAGCAACAACACAAGAACCAGCTGCTAATTGTTGGATATGTAGTTGTATGGATGTAACTATGATAGGATGAAATATGTTTCAAGGTGTATATGAATACGCTATCTTTCAGACTTTATTTGCCCTCGTTACTTTGTTGGCTCATGAGGCCCAATGACATCTTTATTTAATTTGCAGTTGAATAAGCCAAGACAAAGAAACCGAGGCATAAAAACAGAGTAACACATCCTTACATAATGTCGCACACATTGAGATTAAATAGCAAACTTAGCCCTATCTTGCATATTGCTAGCTTCTTCTTCTTCTCAAATTGAGATACGAGTCTCTAGTATCCTTCATTTTGTTGACAACAACATCCATATGCATCCGCTCAGCTGGTAATATTGCAGAGCATGAGAGTCCTATCCGCATCACTGAAACCAAACACTCCTCCAATCTTGTTTCAAGGATAGGGCTTTCATCTTGGTAGCCTATGTCATTTTTGTATCTTTCATCATCACCATCTGCATAATCTCTTTCAATGAGCAATGAATGGTCAACTATGTCCATGGCATGGTCAGGCATTGCCATGGCTGTGAATTGGTGAATGGTCATACCATCTCCAAAAATGCCATCTGTAGGTCTTTTTCCTGTGAACATTTCTAGCAACAGTATTCCAAAGCTATAAATATCTCCGAGGATGGAAACTTGGCCTCCCATGCCATACTCTGTCATTAATCAATACATGCATTAGGATCTTCTTTATGAGTTTTCCAGAAGAAAAAGAAAGGCGATCATCTTTTTTATTTTATTTTATTAGAAGTGACTTAAGATAGCTTCGTCGTAGTAACTTATTAGGAAGAGAGAAATAGAGAATAATATAAACTCATACCTGGAGGAATGTACCCTATGGAACCCTTTAGCCCAGCTGACAAGGTTAGACTTTGGGAGGAATTATCTGATGCTTCCAAGAGCAGCCTTGCTAAACCAAAGTCGCCAACATGGGCAACCATATCTTCACCAAGAAGAACATTGCTTGGCTTTAGATCACAATGAACAATGGTCTTTTCACAATGGTAGTGGAGATATTCTAAAGCAGAAGCAACGTCAATCGCAATATTGAGTCTTTGGGTAAGGCTTAATCTCTTACTTTGATATTGTTCATCATCTTTAGGATGCAGCCATGAGTCTAGACTTCCATTTTCCATGAACTCGAAAACTAGACTTTTGAAGTCATTACCCTGATTATCAATGCTTGAGCATGCAGTTATGATCTTGAGAAGATTACGATGCCTTATACTTTTTAAAGCTTTGCATTCATCAATGAAACTCTTGAAAGCTCCTGGTTGTTGAAGGTTTAATACCTTAACAGCAACTACTCTCTCATCACTAGGAAGTACTCCTTTGTAAACAGAACCAAAACTTCCCGAACCAATCAGTTTCTCGACTGAGAACCCGTCAGTTGATTGAACGAGTTCTAAGTAAGATAAATCTGATTTCCAACCTTGATAAGAATGTGAAGTTGCAAGGGAACCTCTCGACTTCTTGACCTTTGAACGAACAAGAATGAAGCATGACAGAGCAATTATGAAGGCAAGTGCACAAGCTACAGGGATGACTACCTTTAGGGCAAGTAGTCGTTGAGTTGAATGGGACTTTTTGATGGAGCATGCATGTAGACGTAATTTTGGGAGGCCACCACAGAGCCTATTGTTTCCAATAATTGAGAGACCACTTGCATTTGAAAAGATCCCTTCTTTAGGCAATTCACCCTCAAAATCATTATAAGAAAGATTGAGATAGTGAAGAAACGGAAACTTGCCCAGAAATTCTGGAATCTGCCCTGATAAGTTGTTGCGTGACATATCTATTTCTTCCAAACTTGTTAAACTTTTAAGAGATTGAGGAACTGTTCCTTCAAAATTATTTCGTTCCAAGTGAAGCCACCGCAACATAATACAACTGCCAAGAGTTGTGGGGATTTCACCGGATAACTTATTTCCCGAGACATCTAGCTCTACAAGATTTACCAAATCACTCACTTGAAATGGTAATGGACCAGTCAAAAAATTGTTAAACAGTCTCAAATAAAGTGAAAGGGATGAAATGCCGACAAGCTCTCTGGGTATGGTGCCTGTCAGATTGTTATTAGAAAGGTCAAGTACGAGTAGACTTTGGCAGTTTCCAAGACTTTGAGGTATACTTCCCTCAAACCTGTTGTTGAACATGAAGAGCTTTGTCAATGAAGTCAAGTCACCTAGGGAAGAAGGTATCGGTCCAGAAAATTTATTACTATTCAAATTCAGTTCCTCTAACTTTTGAAGCTTTCCAATTCCATTAGGGATTGTACCACTCAAATTGTTCTGTTCCACCCCCAAAAGACTCAAGTTTTTGAGTTTTCCGATGTCATCAGGTATTCTTCCGTGTATCAAATTTCTGGCCAAATAAAGATATTTTAGTTGGCTAGAAAGGTTGGTTATAGATCTTGGCAACTCTCCTTGGAATAGATTAGTGTGAAGACCCAAGACCTCTAGGCTAGTACAATTAGCCAGGAAGCTGAGAAAATTCAAGTTGCCACTCTCACTTGTCAGCCAATTTCTACCAAAGGTCATCCAAACTAAGCTTTGCAAGCTGCCAAGATTTTCAGCAGGGAGTGTCCCAGTGAGACCATTTTCACTAAAATCAAGCTTCCTGAGTCTGGAAGAATTTGACAATGATGCAGGAATAGTTCCTGTGAATTTGTTGGCACCACCGTAAAATTCTCCGAGATTAGGAAGATTAATGCCGAGATTTGGTGGTAGCTCTCCATGTAGCTGATTTACAGCAACACTGAAAAGGTATATTGAAGAAATGTTATAGATTGAAGAAGGGACCTTACCAGACAGATTATTTCCCGGCAGTGAGATATTCTGCAAGGCTGTTAGACCCCCGAGCTCATTTGGTATGCTTCCATGAAAATTGTTTAGGCCAAGATAAAGGTCATGCAAAGAAGAGAAGTTTCCTATCCAACCTGGGATTGCTCCGGTGAGATTGTTAGCAGCAACGGATAGATAATTTAAATTCAACAATGAACTTAACTGGTTCGGAATGGACCCTATAAGCTCATTGAAAGTTACATCAAGCTTCCTTAGTTGTGTACAGTGAGATATATTAGTTGGAATCTTCCCGCCGAAAGAATTTCGAGACAGGGTGAGATATTGCAGGCTTCGTAGACGACCCATTTCTTGAGGAATTTCACCATGAAAACTATTGTTGTCTAGGTTGATTCTAGTAAGTTGAGTAAGATTTCCAATAGAAGGTGGTAAGGAGCCTACCAGTTTTTGAGAACTCAGGTTCAAAATTACGACTCTTTTATTGGAACATGCAACGCCAACCCAACTGCAGAAATGAATGGAATCATTCCATGAGCTCATGAGATGGAGAGGATCTTGAGTGATTCTTTTCTTCAAGTCCAGCAGCGCCAGCCGATCAGTTTCATTTCCAAAAGTAATACCACTGGGTAGAGTTGCAGAATTCGAAGGTGTGCTCATGCATAAACGAATGAGCCCATGAAGGAATGTAAACAAAATCAGCCTGCCACCATGAGTAGTGCGTGAATGCTCCATCCCCTTTTTTTTTTCACAGATCAAATCAGAAACCAAGTTTGGTTTTACACGAATGCATAAGAAAGAAGAAACCCCCGCTACGTATACGGGAAATAAATATAAAAATAAGGAACCAAATTAAAGTCAAGCTTTCACCGTGTCTGTCAGGGCCCATCGATATGAATGGGAGAAATTGATGACAGTGATTTGGTTGATGAATGCAGGTTTACAAGAAATTGATGACACCGTGTCTCTGTTACTTAATTATTTTGGATTCTGCTCTATCTGGTGATGTTATCATTTGGTTGTCTCTTCTCTGTGTCGCATCTGGACCTGCAAGTATTGACTTTTGGCCAAGACAGACCGCAACTCCCTAATATCCGAAATTTTGAATCAATTAAGTAGAACATGATAAATTAAGTTGCAGTTGGGTAAGCCAAGACCAAGAAGCCCAGGCATAAACAGAATAAAACATCCTTACACTACATGGATAACATCCTTATTCGAATAGTTTCTTGCAAATTGATGAGGTTAACGATTGAGATCGGATAACAAACTTAGCCATATCTTGCATAATGCTAGCTCCTTTTTCTTCTTCCTCTAAAATTGAGATATGAGTCTCTAGTTGCCTTCATTTTGTTCACAACAACATTCATTTGCATTTGCTCCGATGGCGATATTGCAGAGCATGAGAGTCCTATATGAATCTGTGAGAGTCCGTTTTCTTAAATTATATATATACTAAAACTGAATCCAGGAATTCACTGTTCCTAGACTGTAGCTTAGCAATAGTGAAGTGCCGATTTTACCCTTTACTGAAATTTTCCTTATGTTCCTTTTTTGCCCTTCTCTCTTTGGATGCTAACTCTCCCCACTGTTTCGTTTCCACAGAACGATCGTCCGCTTCGAACCAGCTTGGTTGGGCTGGTTGGGGGCAGCCATGGAATGCACGGCTTCGATCTTCGGGATTCCTTTGGGGCCGTAGATTTCCATTTGGGCTAGCGCCTTGCGAATCTCGCCGTTCGTTTGGTCTTCATCTCATCTCATCTGCTCATTCGTTGGTTCAACCATCTTTCATCCTCTGTGCAACGTTCGTCTGAGAGATTTTCGATCTGCAAGTTCTTCCATCTTTTCTCTTCAGGTTTGCATCCCTTTACTTTTTAACGGATTAATGGCTTGCTGATGGGTTTCTGAGCGTGCTGTTCAATCCTTTGATTCTTGCCCAAAAAATTATTAAGCAGTCAAGATCTCTCTGTCTCTCTCTATTTGAGCATGTGGATAATGAACCCTAGGAGCTTAATATCTGTTTGCATCTAAAAGAAAATATGATTAGGAGCTGATATTCTGAACTAATCGACCAGTCTCTTAGCTGGAAGGTAGAGATGGTTGGTTCAATATAAGATCATTCAAACAAAAAATCTGATTTTACACTGTATAAAATATGTAGAAACCTACTTACTCTCTGTTTGTTTGCTTAGAAAATGCAAGAAAAAAACAGAAAATGTCATCTTTTTAAACATTTTACTGTTGTTTTGTGGGTAGGAGTTCAATAATTATGCTTATAAGAGCATTTGAGGTCACCCACTTAATAACATTAGTACTTTTTATTGAAATCACTTGGGTTTCTGTGGAAACTCAAGGACATAAAGGAAAAAGTTTGAGTCTTTGTTCTATAATTATGTTGGATTGAAAAGTTGGTGCCTTTGTTCTTTCATACATGTGCTTAGCATTACAATGAAAATTTCCTTTCATTGTTTTTTGGTTATTGAATGGTTTGAGCATGAGGAAAAAGGTGATTTTGCAACCTCAACAAAGCATTTCAAGTAAGAACCATATCCTCGAATTGCCCTTTTGGACCAAAATTAAGCCTTTTGTGTGATGGTTTATCATATAATTGGGTTCTATGTTTGGGCTTATGGATTGGTTCATGGTAGATTTGAATTGGCATGCGGAGTTGCTTGGGTGAAGCTGATGACTCTGTGTATTGCAGGACTACAACAAAATGGTGCACTTACATCTATTCGTGGACTTTGAAATAGAAACAAGGTTTGCATCTTTTAATCGCCTCCACTGTATTTCAATTTCTTTCCCTTTTATTAATTTTGATTGTATTTCTCCCCTGTGATGGGATTGAACAGGCTTTTGAATTGGTAATGGCAGGTGACTGTTTGTGCGTGAATAAAGGCTTGCCATTGCCCTTGCTGATGTTGTGGGACAGAGCCAGTGTATATGTACAGAAGTTGAGGGATACAATGTTCTCTCTCCCTCTCTTTAATTTCAGTTATTTTTCTTTTAATAGAATTTCGTCAAATATTTTGGTTCTGGATTTTTTGTGTTGAACAAATTTACAATAAAGGTATTTTATGACGTTCTGTGTTCGTAAATATCTTTTGTAGAACAGCACAGAATGTTGACTGACTTTGAAGGTGTTGCAAGAAAAAACGAAGTAGGGTTCCGCATTTGGACTAGCAAAGAGGTTTGTCAATTGTTCTCTCACCCTCAATTTTTTTTCTTTCAATAAGTCGATTACATCTCAGCCTTAAATTCGCTGTTTTTTATTTCTGTTTAATTTAATGAGACAATTTCTGTTACAGAATTCTAAATTATGCTTCTTTTTTCCATGTTAGGGTATTGGGATGCTAAGGGGTTCTTATAACTTAGATGGGTATGCTTCAAGAAGGTTGGTTTTATTCTGGAAGAATACCCATTTGGTTTTCGACATAGTTTATTTAGTTAAATATATGGTTGCTGGTGAAATGGATTAGCCAAATATTGCATATGTAATATGCCTACAAATTCTTAGTATTGTTGTGAACAGTCAGTTTAAGTGGAGGATTGTTGTATGAAATTTGGTGAACAAATATCTAGAAATTATCTTCACAGTTTCTTAGGTTCCATTTAATTTGGTATTTGTTTTTGTGTGATATATTTCTCTTAGGGCATGTCAAATGGTAAAGCTGCAATTAATGGTGTTTTTTGTGTTGCAGTTCCACCAGTACCAGGTTGTTGGGAGAAAGCTCCCTATGGCATCTAATGAGCACCCCAAGATTTACCAAATGAAGCTCTGGGCCACAAATGAGGTTCACGCCAAGTCCAAGTTCTGGAATAATCCTTAGCCTTCCCAAATGTTCATTGGTGAATTTTTGGTTAAACTTAATATTGTTGATTGATTTGTTTGGATTAGGTATTTTATGAGGAAGCTGAAGAAGGTCAAGAAGAGCAATGGCCAAGTGCTTGCCATTAATGAGGTTTGTTCTCTTTGCCGTTTATACTTTATTTTTTTCCAATTAATAAATTTGTACCCATTTTGATTATTTGTTAGTGTCTAATGTAGTCAATGTATTTTTGGGGTGGGGAAGTGGTTCCTTCTCAACTCTCCTCCTGGCAAAATCCAATTTGTTGCCAAAGGGCTCCACCTTTGACCCCAAAGCGTCACTCTTTTATCACATTTATTTCGCTTTTTTCTAATTTTGTTTCGATAATTTGAATCGTATTTTGTATTTGATGTTTGGCTTTGGTGGCAGATGTGAAGGAGGTTGCGTCATAGGCATCCTCTGGAATATTATGAAAACCTATCAGCATATCCACACCTTCTTTTACACCCGATTTCTCTGCACATTCTTCTCAAAAACTTAAATGCTTTATGCTCCATAGCCTTTGGTAGTTTTCTCTTCTTTCACTTGGTTCCATTTTAAGTTTGAACTTTTTAAAAAAAAAATCTTTATTGTAAATTTGTTACTTTAAATCCTTAATTTTAGGATTAGTTGTGGTTTATTTTTATACCTTATAATGAATTGAGATGTGGACAATGAATGTGTTTCTTCCTTCATAGTTATGGTTTATTTTTATACCTTAAAATGATATTTCTCTTGATATCTTTTCTTTGGTATATAGGTGACATGAAGTAGAAACAGGGAAGGAAATCTCATATGAATGGGTATTTTATGTTGGAGGTTAGGTTTATTTTATGATTTTTTAATGTTAGATTTCATACTGAATCAATTTGAAAGGTTCCCCTGAGGACTATATGAATTTCTTTTTAAGTTTTTATGGTTATAAGTTTAACACATTAAATTTATTTTTTCTTATAAGTTCTTTCTACTTTATTTTGCTAATTCAGTGATAGTAGTTGTCAAAAATGGCATCAAAGCTTGGCAAATCTATGCTTGATGGGGTTGGTATTACGATTTGATCAGTGATGGGACGTTTGGTTAAATCCCAAGCAGGGAATGCATTCTTTGCCATAGTTCCCGGACAGGTCCTCTTGGCTTCCCTTGATGCTATCAGTAAGTTGATTAGGGTTCTATAACCTATAGGTGTTTATAGGTTATTTCTGGTTTTATAGCTTCTCCATTAAATTAACATAGCCTATAATTGGGAATACATGTATCAGTTTTGACCATAGGTGTCTAGAGATAATCTATTCTTTTGTACAACAAACTTGCACATGGTTTGATTCTGTTATGGGTATTTGGTTTGATTCTATTAAAGGCTGGGTCTTTTGGATTCATTCTGTTATAGGTATTTAATAATTTGTGGCAATGACATTATACTTTTGTCCACCACATTCGTAGAATGTGGCGTATTTAAATTGTGGTTTGTGCAGTTGATTTTGTGGCCTTAATTCTGTAATAATAGCCATTGTCTTCACTAAATTTTCCCATTTGTTTGCACTAACACCTACCAGTTTCCAAATTTGTAGCAATAGAATAAACACCCATTGATTTGAGGCTATTAAAGGTTGATTGTTTTGGCTTAATTCTCTCATACCTATTTAATTATAAATTATCACAATTGTTCTAAGTTTGTTATCAATTGTTATCTGGAGGCTTTGACTTTATAGGAGTGGCGAGCGTTGGTCTTCTTCTTAAGATTGAACTCCAGCTTTTTCTATGTTTCGGTCTCTCTCTCTCACTGATCTGTAAGTAAATTTTGCTTCATCTTTCCATTCAATTTTTGTTGCTCTTCTTTTTCATTTTTTTTTTGTTACTAATATCTTGGATCTTATTTTATTAAACTATAAGACCTGTTTTAATTTGCTGCCCTAAAAGTCCAAATTCCTAATTTTTCCTCATAGTGGATCTGTGTTATTGATTTGCAAATGTTATCCAAATACTGAAATTGATTTGATTGTGTTATTATTTTGATGAAACCAGGTGAAACAATTTAGTTATTAAAATACTATATGATTGCTTTTGGTAAGGTTTTCTGTTTGATTATTAAAAATTAGTTGGTAAACCCTCAAAATCGGTATTTGGATATGCTGGTTCTTTTGTTACAGGGTTTAGGATAGCTCTGTTTTGGTAAGCAGGATATGCTGCTATTTGGGTAGTTATGTTTAAAGACATGTTCGTTCTTTTACTACAGGGTTTTAATTCAAATTCGTTCTTATACTGGTTTATGGGACTGGGGATTTGAATTTGATAATTTTTGTTTTGGTAGGGGAAAGAAAATTTGGGAGTGTGATTCTAGGAACTGATTGCAATGTTTTAGCATAGTTGACTTGAAGAAGATTGGTTTAGGAAATATGTGGGATTTGAAAATCTGACTTCTAAATTGGAATTCTGTTTGTGGACATTAGAGATGACGAGAAAGAATTCAGAAAAGTTAAAATTCATAGGTTTTTTTGTTTGTGGGTTTGATTTACCAAGCGGATTTTTGTTGATTATTGCATTGAATGGAGACTTATTGAAAACTAAAAAAGTTTGTATATCCTAATTTCAGAATGCAGAGTTTGGTTATATTGTTTTTTTTCCTTTTCATGGGCTAATAATTTGGCCATGCTTCTACTCTTTGCAGCTGCTAGGGACTGGAATGGATACGCAAGATACATCTCCTTCAGTGTTGCTATTCTTTGACAAGCAAAGATTTATATTTAATGTTGGAGAGGTAAGGAACTCAATTACATACATTTTCCCTGTGGTTTCTTTCCATACAGATTTTGCTCAAGCTAATTTTTTGGTTTAATGAAAAGATTGTGCATGCATAAAATACTCAAGCTAATTTCTTCCCCGATTTTTCTGTTTTTTTTTCTTCTTTTAAAAAAAATCATGTTTTCTTTTGATATTTTGCAGGTGGTCTTTCTTTGCTTTGGATAGAGCAGTTTGGTTGGTGTTTTCAGTTCTGTTAAGCAAGGGGTGAGTTTCTAGGCTGAAATTTCAATTAATTGTTTTAAGTTTTGTGAATAGAGCATAGGAATTAGCTAATGGCATCAATTGACAATTGGTTGGTGTTAATTTGTTGTTGTAATGATAGGTTTAGATGATTACAATATTTGAACATGTTGGTAAATCCTTTGAGTGTTTTGGCAATTGGGTAGTTGAGATGTTCCCTGCCTATTTTCATCGCTTTATACACATTTCACGCAATTTTAAAACCCGCAGCATCGCGCGGGCACCTTTTGCTAGTGTTGATCTAAAAATTAAAAAAATAAATGTTATTATAAATACTCAAGTAATTATCTTGGTAAGAAGGAAATGTATATTTATAATTATTTTACGTTTATAATACCATTTCAATAGTTATATGAATATTATTTCATTAAATATATATATATATATATGTGTGTGTGTGTTCTGTCAAATAAAAAGGGTTTGTTTAAATTATATGTTTATTCATTATTCCTTGGGATGTCATTAGATGGTTATTGGGTGCTTTATATACATATATGTTAATAACATGGATTGAGAGTTTAGATGTGGCATCCTTACATTGTTTTTTTGAGAGAAAGATTGTTCTCTCCATGCATTACCATGCATTTGGACAGCTTGTGCTTACAATTTGGTGACTAGGCTTTATCTTAGCTTGAGGTGTAGTTTACAATTTCAATAGGTGTCACAGCCCTTATAAAGAAATCTCCTGGCATTGACACATAGCAATTTATATAAAAGAGTGGCAACCAATCTATTTGTATGGATAAGATAATGGCCTTTGTTATTATCCTCTCCATTGTTAAACGCCATCTCACCACCTATAAATAGGAGTCTTAATGAAAGGAAGAGATATCATGCAATGTGTGTGTGTGTGTGTGAGAGAGAGAGAGAGAGAGAGAGAGAGAGGGCTTAGTTTGTGTTTTCTTAACTTGGAGCAATGATTTGAAATTGAGGTAGGGGTTTCTTAGTGGCTTTATGCGTGATATTATAATTTGATGGATGTTCTTGATATTGGGTGTTTTGCGTGTTGTTAATTATTTAATTAATGTTGGCATGATTATATGTACATTGGTGATATTTTAAATGATTACTTTGGTTTTATGAGATATGTGAAAAGAAGAACTAAATCATGTCATGGAAATTATTTGGAGTTCTTGGGTTGGGAAAATAATGGTGGAAAAGAAGGTAATGAGAATGATCTTTTGTGTAGTTGAGTTTAACTCTTGGTAGGTACGGGATCTTAGGGATCTCACAGTGCACATGATTTTTATTGAATTCTACTCTATCTGGTGATGTTATCATTGGGTTATTAGCTCTTGACTTTGATCTCCTTGTTGTCTCTTCTCTGTGTCGCATCTGGTCTTTCGCTTTCTATCTGCCCACCTTATCATTGTGGTCCTGCAAGTATTGACTTTTGGCCAAGACAGACCGCAACTCCATAAATATCTGAAATTTTGAATCAATTAGGGCTTGTTTGGTATTCAACTTGAATCCAACTTTTTAAACTAAAAAACAGAATTTGAGTCCAAAACAAAGAAAACCTGTTTGATAGCCATATTTTTAAAAACTCGAACTCGAGAACAACTAAAATCACCCAAATTATTAAAAACAAGAAATATATGTTTTTTCAGTTTTTTTTCTAACAACCCACAAGTTCTCAAATTTTTAAGATTTGAAAACAGTTTTCAAGTTACATACCAAACAACTTTTTGAATCTTAAACATAAATTTAGGGTAATGATTTCCCCACTTCAATTTTATCCACTTACACTCCATTTAAAAAAGGAGTGTAAGTGGATAAAATTGGAGTGAGAAAATCACCACTTTAAATTTAAGAACTCCTTGTTTTTAAGAAAAATCAAAGTTTTTGAATTCCCTATTTAAATAGGATACCAAACGTCCCCTTAACTTTTGGTTTTGTGTCTAGACCTCTTGGTTGGCTCAAAAGCCCAATGGGCCAATTCTACTCTTATTTTTGCCATGGTGATTTATTTTCACCAAACTAGCCTTGCAGAGACTAAGAAGAAATGGTAGAAACTCATACCTGGAGGAATGTAACAGATGGAACCCTTTAGCCCAGCAGAAATGGTTTGACTTTGCTAGGAACTATCTGAGAGGAACCTTGCTAAACCAAAGTCACCAACATGGGCTACCATATCTTCACCAAGAAGAACATTGCTTGGCTTTTGTTTCACAACAGTGGTGGAGATAATCTAATGCAGAAGCAATTAACTATACAATGAGACCAATTAATATCTATAAAGTATAAATTAATGCAACTAGAAGGGTTTTTTTAGAAAAAGAAAAAAATAGTATAGCCGTTCGGCTATACTCGGGGATTTGTTTTTAATAAAAAACGAAAAGCCGCCGGCTATACTA